CGTTCATTGGGTTCCTCTGGGATCTGGAGCGGGGTGAAGTTTCCATCACGAGTGGAAAGCAAGAGAAGTATCTCACTGCCATCACAGCCTGGGAGGAGAGCACAAAGCACACCTTGGAAGAGGTGCAAAAGCTCTATGGCAAACTCCTCCATGCTTGCCTGGTCATCCCAGCAGGACGTGCTTACCTCACCCAGCTGGAGGCCTGCATGGGCATCTTCCACGATCGTCCGTACACCACAACATACAGCAGAAGATATACACTGGTGGAAGGAGAAACTCCAAGGACCATGCATCTCCAGACCCATCCCCCGACCAACCCCCATCATTGACCTCGTCGCGTACTCAGATGCAAGCTCTGAAGTCGGCATCGGCATCACGATTGGCCAAAAGTGGCGAGCCTGGCGACTCCTCCCAGGATGGAAGGCAAACAACCGAGACATCGGCTGGGCAGAGGCAGTCGGTTTCTTCTTCCTGGTCATCACTCTCCGCAATGCATGCCATCACCCGGGAGCATCACTAGACAATCGAGGAGTCGTGGAAGGATGGTGGAAAGGTCGCAGCAGGAACTGGCCAACAAACAGTATCTTCCGTATGGTACACACATTCTCGCAAGAAAATAGCCTCACTGCCCACACTAGATATGTTCCCAGTAAGGAGAACCCAGCTGACGGCCCTTCTCGTGGAGAATATGGCACGACGCAAGACCTCCTCCCTGCCATCAACATCCCCAATCACCTCCAGCACTATGTCGTCGATTTCGACACACCTCATACGCCAACGGAACTCCGCCTTGCACGAGAAGGCAAAGCAGCCCTCGCCGCCCCCAGGATCAGCCCAGCCACACGACTCCTCCAACGCCAAAGCACCTCAGAGGGCCAGATCCTCCATGAAGAAGAAATCCTCGCCCACTTCCAAGCCAGCAACCAAGCGGCACCACTTCTCTCCAGAGCACCGAAGCACAAATGGAGGGCCAGTGCGTGACCACACACGGGCTCGAGCTTCACGAAAACCTGCGCCGTACCCTCCTGACCTCACACCAGTACCATCCACACTCCGCCCACACGTCTTTGCTCGAGAACGGCTTACACGTTGGAGACCAACCACGGTCCGTACTGCCACTGACAACCAGGGCCGGCCCACCCATCTCTCCGCTGAAGACCTGGCCCGCATTCTCGAGGTAATGGCCGGGGCGTGGGCGGATGGGACTCTGGAAGTCTATGGGACAGGCCTCCTCACCTGGCACGCCTTCTGCGACAAGAACGGAGTTAGTGAGGATCAGAGGGCCCCAGCCTCACCCCTCCTCATCACCTCTCTCATAGCCACCCTCTCAGGTGCTTTCTCTGGTGGCACCATCGCCAACTACGTCTATGGCATCCGGGCATGGCACATCCTGCATGGGGTCCCATGGAAGATGGTCGACCCTGAACTGGAGGCACTGCTCAAGGCCGCAGAAAAAGCAACCCCACCCACATCAAAGAGGAAGCGAACACAAAAGATTTCATGGTTGCTTCGCGGTCAGCTAGACCTCTCAACGCCCCTCCATGCTGCCGTTTATGCCTGCTTGACAACCACATTCTGGTCAGCTGCCCGAGTTGGTGAGTTCACGGTCAAAAACCTGACAAGCTTCGACGCAAACAAACATGTCAAACCCTCAAACGTTACAACCACGACAGACCAGAACGGCTTCGAAACAACCGAGTTCTTCATCCCCTCCACAAAGTCTGAACCCACCAACGGAGAGACAGTCTCATGGTCGAGACAGAACGGAGACACAGACCCGGAGACTGCATTCCACAACCACATAGATGTCAACTCACTGCCAAATGGTGGCCACCTCTTTGCGTACAAAGTAGGCTCAGGATACAAGCCACTGACAAAGCACAAGTTCATTCAAATTCTCACCACCGCAGCACGAGCAGCTGGCCTAGAGCCACTTCAAGGCCATGGGATCAGGATTGGGTCAACACTCGAGTACCTCCTGAGGGGGATTCCATTTGATGTGATGAAAGCAAAGGGAAGGTGGGCAAGTGACGCCTTCCTCGTCTACCTCAGGAAGCATGCCCAAATCCTCGCACCATACATGCAAGCAGACCCAGTCCGCCAGGAAGAATTTATCAGGCTAACCATGCCTCCACTACGCCGCCACTAATCAGGTAAGCAACCCCTGTCATGCTCCTAGCAGAGTGGGCTCGAGACTCGCTCGATGCGTCGCAGGACTCCTAACAATTGGGAATCGCGCTCATCTTGGCTTCTTTCACAGACCAGGAGCTCCTGCCGGGCACGAAAGCCTTCGGGCTTTCCGCCCATATATTACATCCAGCACACTGCCATTCCATACACCTATCCCTCTTACCCTAGTCTACCATTGTTAATCTAATGCTGTCACTCGCCAGACCTGCCTCAGCGCCATTCATAGAGCAGCTTTTCACTGGGGCTGAACCCTTGATCAAGGCAAGCAAGTTGACTTGCACAGTCAAGAAACCGATGAAGCAACTCAACGAGAGAACACCTATCCCCTCGCTTGGTATCCTGGCACATCACCGCGATGATGGAAACGAACGCATTGTATGCTTCTGGTTTCACAGACGTCGAAAGCTACGCTTTTGCGGTTCCGATCAAGTATAAATGACCAGGTGAGGGCCATCCGCTTCAGTGTCTGGTTCCCATCAACTCGCATAGCAATTTTTCCATGTTATCCAAAGCTCCGTTCTCTCTCGCCTCATTGGGTGCTGTGGTGTCCGCAGCGTCGCTCTCTTTGTCGGTCACTGGAACATTGAAATTTCTTGAGCCCTTTCATCATGAATCATTAATGCGAATTATCGACATTTGTTTAGGTCCTCAAAAAGTTCAGGACGTCGGAGACCTTAATGTCGTTGCTACGATTACAAACACTGGAGGCGAAACCCTCAAATTTCTCAACGATCCCCATGGCGCTCTCTCGCAGATGCCCACCGACACTTTCACTATCACCAACGGAAAAGGTGCTCGGCCCTGCTTCTCCGGCATTAAAGTGAAATAAGTTCCACACACAGCCGTCGAGGTAGGAGCCTTCACAGTTCTTGCTCCTGGCCAGTCCGTCGAAGTCGAACACAACCGCAGGTGAACTCTCAATACACCTTCAATTCCTGACTAGCTTTTATGTAGTCGGTACTGCCAATAACTTTTCCCTCACATTGACAGGCGATGGCATGTATGACATCCGCCCCTCCAACCTATTCTACGTCATCAACAAAGATTCCACAATCACCCAGTTTCGAGCACACAAGCCCCAGGCGCTTTCGGTTCACATCTCTGGGCAACTCCGCGTTACTCCTCCTCCCATGAACAAACGTGCGGCCTTCAAGGAATACTCTCTCGACGAGCAGGAGGCCCTCGTTAAAGCCATTGCTGAAGCTAGATTGTATGCTAGCAATACCTCGAATCTCGCCGCTATGCAGCAATTTCCTCAAATGTCTTTTCTTCATTCACGTACGATAGCAGCTGAGCAAAGCCTGATGTCTACGCTTTTGTCAACCACAGCAGGTGATTCTTCACTCTCTCCCATTATCTGGTTGATTCTCTTGACTTTGCTTCCGTTTTCTCGACTGTGTGAGCAGTTTCGGCTATATTCATTTCTGTGGCGCATTCTGGAGTGCCCCAGAAAAGGGTACTGACTCTAAGGCACGCTCTGACTCTTACGAGTACTTCGCCGAGAACGGGCCGTACCTTGGCTGAGTTCCAGGGATGAGTGCTAATTCCCATTTCTCTCCTTTGCAGTCCTTTCAGAGTACCAGTATTATGGCGACTAGTATCGTGTACGTGAGGCGTGGAATCTCTCTGCTTTGTGAATTTCGGACTGAATGAAATCCTGTCTCGTTTTGGTCTTCTGTGCTCGATGATCGAATTGTGTTGTACCTGTTGCTGGAGTTTGGGCGCCAAATTCGGGCCAAAGACTCGGCCGACGATCCGACTTTTTCTCACGATCGTCTCATTTTCATCGGTCCGAGTCAGGTTCCAAGTTGCGCTCGCGGCTCAGTACTTCATTCACTGACGAAAGGTCTTTTCCAGTGTCACGACACATGTTCATTAAATCTGACTTCGGAGAAGCTTGCGTTCAGGCGCCGTAACTTCATTCCGATATCGGCAAGTATCCCTCGTTTCTGTTATCAGCTTCTCTACATAATTGTGTGTGAATCACAGGACGCACTCGTATAGGATGTTCCCTTGTTCCGCGCGGCAGAAGGCATGCCGTCTCGACTATCAGACCCCATTTACCTACTCAACTTATCATCGAACGTAATTGCCTCTGCTCTGGGGTTGGAATATAACTGCGAACGGTTCTTGGTTATCCCTAGCTCCGAACATCGAAAACTCGGTACACTGACAAATCTCGGCGAAACTTCCCCGGGCCTATTCGAGTCTCATTCCTTCTGCTGCCTTCGCGCTTCACCTCCATCCCAGAAGTCCGCATTCTGCGATGCCATTAAACTCAATCGAACTGCAGGATGTCGAAATAAAGAGGCACTCGACGGACCAGTCGATTCATTCTGTCATTCGTACCCCTCAATCGTTATCGAAGTCCAGAGTCGACGTGAGCTCGGAGGTTGTGGCGGAGGGCGATGCAAGCACATCTAATGTAACAACGCCATCTCAAGTGCCACCTCGAACGCGTCAACAGAAGATGGTCGCCCATGTCCAGTTTCTGGCATTGTGTTGGACGATGTTTCTCACCGGATGGAACGACGCAACGATTGGGCCACTCTTGCCACGGTTACGGGAGGTTTATGGTGTAGGTCGACTCTGTGCGCTTCAGCATGCTCGAACCCCGGAAAGCTGACGCGTTTTACAGATCGGAACCGCTGTTGTGTCTCTTATTTTTGTTTTCGCCTGTCTGGTCAGTCTACTCTCTGCATCCATCTTATACTTCACCCATCAATCTGGCCGTAGGGGTTCATCTCAGGCGCGGTCTTAAATCTGTATCTCTCCGAGAGGATGACACTGGGGAAGGTACGTGACAGTCTTCATCTAGTCTTATGATTAGTCGAATTGCAGAACAGATTCTGGTGTTCGGAAGCCTTTGCCAAGTTGCCGCATATTGCATAAAATGCTCAGCGCCTCCCTTCCCGGTATTCTTCTTGGCGTATAGTCTGACAGGAGTAGGGCTTGCCCTCCAGGTGTGTATTGTGTGCTGTCTTCCGCGTTATTTAGCTCATGGACTGGATGTCAGGAAGCGCAAGCGAACGGGTTTGTCGCGAGATCAAAGCATGGCGAAACCAAGATGGGGTTCCTGCACGCGGCTTACGGTGAGTCTTTTGTGTATGCATCAAGTTGACTCATCTCCAATTCTCTAGGGGTCGGCGCTTTCGCTTCTCCTCTTGTCTCCACACAATTCGCCCAACTTCCGAGATGGTCCTTTCACTTTCTGACTTCTTTGGGCATTTCGATCTCCAATACGGCGATCCTGTTCCTGGTATTTAAATTAAAGGACCAGGATGGTGTGTTTGCCCCGTTCAATCGATTAATCCTCGCTGATGTGTCGTTCTAATCTAGATTGCCTTCGCGAAGCAGGAGAGACTATCCCGGACGGACCAACAGACGACGGGCAAGGAGCTTTCAAAAAGGTCCTGTCGATGAAGGTTGTCCATCTGATAGCGATTTTCATCCTAATTTATGTCGGCGTCGAGGTCACTATTGGTGGTAAGGTAAATAATTGCTCACAGGTATAATATTTCCAATCATTCTCGTAGGTTGGATCGTCAGTTTCATCATTGAAGTCCGTGATGGAGGTCCGTCCGCCGGATATGTCTCATCGGGGTTCTTTGGAGGTCGGTGAACCTACGATATATTCCTGGGCTACGTCGCACTCACGGTGGGTATAGGACTGGCCACTGGTCGCGTGCTTCTGTTGTGGGTGAATAAGAAAGTCGGAGAAAGACGGGTTTTATTCATCTATGCCTTCCTAGCTATCGCGTAAGTTGACTACTTCCTCTTTTCTATGAATACTTTTCTGAGCGCTTCAATCCTCAGTTTCGAACTCACCGTTTGGTTTGTGCCATCTCTCATCCAAAACGCCGTCGCAGTCGCCATAGTCGGGATGCTGCTCGGGCCAATGTATCCAATTGTTATGAACCAGACGTCTCGCGTCCTACCACGCTGGATTCTGACCGGTGCCATTGGATGGATTGCTGGATTCGGTCAAGCGGGAAGTGCCCTCCTGCCCTTCATCACTGGCGCTATTGCTTCCAGCCGTGGCATCAAAAGCTTGCAACCCTTGTGAGCACCTCGGACACGTTTTTTCAATGACATATACTGACGACTCTCACTTCATCGTTCGATCCTATCCAGTGTGGTTTCGATGATGGCGTTCATGATGGTTCTTTGGGCCTTAGTTCCCGACAGTCGCCGGTTGGACTGAATCGCTTGGGATACGGCCCTTGCAGCTTTTTTCTCGTTATCACGACCTTTTCGTATAGATGGCAAAAACTCTCGGTCTCGATCTCACGTAGAATATCACGAATATGGAGCCTTTTCATTTGTTGGATGCTGTCGGAGGCCTCAAAAAAAGAAGAGACGCATCCCGGAGAAACTTCGGTCACCCGATCTTGAGCAAAGTGGCCTCATAAACAACGGCGTTTCAAAACTTCAAGCTTCAAGTCAAGCCAGGCCTATGGGCGATTATTTTGTTCACCAACTGCCCTCGAAAGATGGTCCAAAGCATACTGCGCATCGGCTGTCAGAGAGCCTTAAGGTATTTTTTTCGAAGAAATCGACCTTGCTCGTGTCGTTGACGGGATTCCCGTTGCCCTACCTGGCCCTACGTACGCCTTACGCTGAATATCCTTTTTAGGTGTTGTTGTTTACCCGAGTGTGGCGCATGGTGTCCTCAAGTCGGGACGGTCTTTTTCGATGGAGTCAGATCGAGCACCAATCTAAATACCCAGGTTATATCTACCCGTGGATAGTGTGCACTCGATGGCCGGACGTTCAAGGCATCCGTCCCGTAAATATCAGAAGTGGCAGGTCTGTTCCCATGTTCTCATACGCCTGCATTGGTTCGACTGACTCCATGGTTTACGAGGCTACTTACGTAAATGATGGCCGAATCTAACTCTCGATAAGACCTGAGATGTTTTGATTCTAATGGATCGAAGGATGGTCGTCTGACATTTTTCGTTAGTACCTTGTAAGCGACCGGGGAAACCTCGGGAAAATGCCCAGTATCTATACGGTTGGCTTCAAAGGCGCTCCTCGTAAGACGCTACTCCCCTTTCTCATCGGAAATGGATTCTGAACAGTCTGAGAAGAAGGAAGTCGCCGTTTCCCCCCCAGTGTCACTGACCCCTGTGTCTGATTCCAATGACAAACTCGACTTGCCAACCGTCACCCAGAATGTCGAGGTCCAGAAATTGGTCACCAGCTCTCCACAAGATGTTGATCCTAGAAGTCCTGCACCTCGCACGCCTCGACAGCTTCGAGTTTCTCGCATCTCATACACTTCCCTCTGTTTCATCCTCTTTCTCGGAGGGTGGAATGATGGCGCTACCGGTACTCTCTTGCCTCGCATACGCGAAGTTTATGAGGTAAGCTTACGTTCCACTCAAAGACAAATGGGTATTGAATTCTTAAATAATATAGGACAGCTATATACTCGTCTCCTTGATTTTTGTTTCCGCTTGCTTTGTACCGTGCCTTCTTTCGTCTTTTATTTATTGCGGCTTATGCGCGGGAAACATTGTAGGGATTCCTGGCAGGATCAGTCATCAACCTGCACCTAACGCCGTGGTTGGGGTTTGGAAAGGTTTGATATTTTTCCTCCATCAGGGACTCCGAGTACTGGTTCGACGACTTTTATACTTTTATAGAGCCTTTTCTTTGGATCGCTACTGCAAGTGGTAGCGTACGCCATTCAGGCCGCCGCCCCGCCGTATCCTTTGTTCGTGATCTGTTATGCTATCAGTGGCTGTGGATTTGCCATTCAAGTATGAGCATTCTTGTAAGTCGCAAGGTTGGAAGAAACTAACGAACCATTGCAGGATGCGCACGCAAACGGTTTTGTCGCCCAGATGAAGCAACGCGGTGAAGCTGCAAAGATGGGGGGGCTACACGCATGCTACGGTAGAGTATATGTCGTTTTATCCAGCAAATATCAGTTTTGAAAATATTTCAGGATTAGGCTTGTTCATTTCGCCTCTCGTGTCGACGCAATTTGCACAAATACCGCGGTGGTCGTTCCACTTCCTGGTCTCCTTGGGACTGGCACTCATGAGCACCACCGCTCTTCTCTGCATCTTCAAGCTCAGATCGCTTGATGGTGCGTATGCCCCTTCTTCAATCACCTAAAGGAAAGCCTTGGCCAACTTGGAACGTTTGAAACGCGCAGTTTGTCTTGTAGCTGCCGGAGAAACGCCTCCAGAGAAATCATCCAGTGAAAGAAGTCTGTTCGGCCAAGTCATGAGGAGCAAGGAAGCGCACCTTCTTGCCGTGTTTGTCATCGCCCACCTTGGAGTCGTCGTGACAATATCTGGTAAGACCTTTAGCCAGAGCTTTTCAGCAAGTTGCTAATAGATGGGTTGGCTATACAGGTTGGATTGTGACCTTCATCATTGAAGTTCGCGGTGGTGGTCCAACGTCGGGATATATTTCTGCTGGTGTTTCGGCGGGTGAGAAATATTCCCAACCCCATCGCGCCTTTGCCAACTGCTTAAAAGGTATGTTTAGGATCTATGCTTGGGCGGATTGCCCTGTTGTGGATCAACAAGAAGGTGCGACCTCTTTGGAAGTTTCAAGTGAGGATAGAGTTCTGATTGAGTTCTGATGACGGGAATACAGGTCGGTGAAAGGAATGTCATTTTCCTCTACTCGGCCATCGTAATCGCGTAAGTTCATGTAAACCAACAGGATACCTGTTAAAGTACTGACACGGACATAGAATGGAATTCGTCATTTGGTTCGTGCCATCGCTCATCGGAAACGCGGTCGCAGTTTGCTTCGCCGGGCTCTGTCTGGGACCTATGTACCCGCTCGCTGTCAACCAGGCAAAACGTATCCTTCCAGGACATATGCTCACTGGGGTCATTGGGTGGATGGCAGGCTTCGGCCAGACCGGAAGTGCTCTCTTGCCGTTCATGACGGGTGCGATTGCGTCGAAACACGGATTGCAAAGTATGCCGCCGTTGTGAGTCCTTGTAGTGGTCGTTTCTGGCGCGTCACTAACTTGTCATGGTCAGGTTGGTTGGGATGACGGTCCTCATGATGGGAATATGGGCTTTGGTACCCGCTACTCCTCGACGAAGCGGATGAGAATGGGCTCAATGTGCTGCACCAACACATGTTGAGATGGATGTATTCGTTCTGGCTATTGCGGTGCTGCTCCGGTCAAAGGATGCCATAGATAAGAGACGTGGTTGACGCCAAGAAGCAATCTTTGAGAAGTTTTTTGAGCTTGTGGATAGCATGTACAACACCAAATGTATACGAATAAATTAAACTGACATTTCGATCCCATTACCCTTGCTGAGCCGCCCGAGCAAGGGCGGCTAGATGGACAGTACCCTGCCACCACACGACCATTCCGAGCCCAAGGAGACCATGGGTGACACCCCATACAGACTCAGGTGTGACTTTATAGCTAGAGCAGAGTTTCCGCAAGTTCGAAGCGATATGATACAGGAAAGAAACTCACGCTTCCATTGCGGGACCAAAACTATGAGGAATGAACCGAGGGGCTTGGAAGAGAACTGTAGAGCACACAGTATGGTACACACAAAGCCCGATTGCGAATGCGCGTTTTCCCGGAAGGAATTCTGGCGTAACGGTATAGGGAAGATGGCGCAGCCAAGTCGCGTGACATGTTCAGAAATGTTGCGTTGAAAAAGATGGCAAAATGGGACGTAGCTGATCAGTATTTCGTGTCATAACCAGAGAAATAGACGCACCAGGAAGGCCGAAACACAGTAGTGCCGTGATACATGACGCGAGGATGCATGAGGAGTACATCTAGAAGAGAGAAAAAGCGGGAATGAGCAACATAGACTCCACATAATGTGCTACGGACAGCGGACCTTCAGCATGACAAGAGCAGTGTTGTTCAGTTGCATGAACGGCAGGTTCGCTGGCGACCATACTCCCTGAATTGCAACGGGTATCTCAAGTGCGATGTGCACGAGAAAGATAAGGGAACTTTTGGTGTGGTGGGAAGGTTAGTTGAACAGGGGTTCAATCACTGTACGAAGAGAAGCTAGAATAGGCCTTACAGAGGAGACCTCGCAGACATGATTTGCGCCCAAAGATGTCAAGAGGACAAGATAGACGTGGCCTTGGTAGTCGAACTCGACGTGGACAGAGGGGAACCTGAGTAAAAGGCCGACGGTTGGCAGCGAACAGCCAAATTCTCAGGCGCATGTGGACGCGTCCTCACACGCTATTACTTCCGCTCCGACGCCTCTAACCACCACCATGGCACCAGTCCGACACCCCTTGATTCCGGTGTTTGGCCCGCGACGCTGTGGCAAGTGCTAAGTATGTTGATGCATTTCAGGCAAGCATCACTCAACTCGAATCTCATGTTGTCATTCAAGCTCGAACATTGTGCAGAGAATTGAACAGTGACGGTCGCGGCGTCTGGAATCTGGATTCAAATCTCGGTGCCGACAGATGGCTACACCTTCGCCAACGTCTATTTCTTTCATGAACCCATGGCCTCACTTGCGATGCAAATATCTGACCTTGCGACCTGGACCTTGGGCTTCAAAGACGGGACTGCAATTCAAGCCTTATTGCGGGATTGGGGCTGGCGGTCTATGTTCACAATTGTCGGCGTCAGAGAGAAAGAGATTGTGGATGTCTCTGAGGTACGTTGCTGGCATGCCGCATCAATGTTTTTGGGTGCTGATGTAGACTGCTTTCTTTTCCAGCGAGTCCAAAACCTTGAGGACGGAGTGATAAAGCTTCGACGTTGAATGCCCCGTCTCCTGTCCTTTTCCAATATTAAGATTAAACTACCGGCGTGTGCGTATCTGCAGCATGTAGTCTTACAGAAGCTGACACCTTTATGCACAGGGTTCTGAAATACTCAAATTAAGAGTGTTCTGGATATTCTTTCTCGTTCTTTAGAGGTCGTTGCCTCCCAAATGAAGAACGCGTCATTGCCCACCTACCTTTGATCTACGTCCCAAAACGAAAGCCTACGGCATTCAATAAATTAATAATCAGGTTATTTGATTTATGATGATTGACTTTGCACAAGCGAGTCTCTCGTGGTGTCATTGGCCCAATAGTGGAGCCGACCAACATGATGCATTAGTTTGACACTACGCCCTGAGGACCTCGTCATCAAGCCCGTCATTTACATTCGAGGAATTTACTTGCTCGCGAGGTTTTAACCGGCCCAGAAAGCCTCGGGAAGGCCACCCTCACCCTTCTTATTCTCCTGGAGGAACGATTGTGATATATCTTTAACAAGCATTACTGTTCGTCGTCGGCGAAACTCTCAACTCTGGCGTTGCCCTCGTTCTTTCTGTCGTTCTGGACAACCATGGCTTGGAGTAACGCTCAACACACTCCTCAAGCACTCGTTCACGAACCCGAAGCTTGAGGCGTACTTTCGCTCCTTCAAGATGGTTAGCCCCGTCCTGTGTATATTAGGGACGACTATTTGGACCTTGAAGATGTCGACAACACGGTGGATGTTCTGGTCAAGATTTGATGGCATACGCAACCAACGAGGACATGTTGAAAGTCTTACCCTTCACCAGAGGATGTTTCCAACATCGCTTTGGACTCGGAGATTCCAGGATCTTCGCGATTGTATCAAGGACTGTATTAGCCAACAGAAGGCGGGCTCTCTCTCTCTCATCCCGACGTTTTTCTTCATTCTCGATACTTCGTGTATCTTCGTAGAAGTCGGTCCTGACCTCGAAGCGTCCCGCACTGAACAAAGGATGGATGGTCAGAAACAGCTATCAAGATCTTCGAAAGGATCAAGTGTCGGCAGTATATCGGAGAGCCTCTTTCCATGTTCGACCTAATGCAAAAACGCAACGGGGTCTGGAAACCCACTCCGCTGCTCCTCGCGAACTCTTCATTGAGGAGCAAGAACATAAACATTCAGGTTCTGCATATGGATAGCGCCGTGTCGGTCATATTCGCAACCTGCGGGTGGATACTTTGAAGAAATGAACTCTATTTTTTTACGAGAAATTATCTGGAAGTTTGTACTTCTGGGTGATTGTAGACCGCAAAGCAGGTGGCGAATAGAGTGCTTAGTGCATTAATTTCTATCTGAAATTTTCCCGCCGGGGATATTTCGCAGTGACGGACCGATTATGTATCTTCCCGTGATCATGTTATTTAGGTGCCCTGACTCTACATCAGACGCTGACCCCAGTTTGCCTTCTTTCCCGCTTCTCTTCCACCTCAATGGACGGCTCAGGCCATCCACAAGCATTTTCACCATTTCTCAGTGGTAACAGCGGCAACAACGCCTCACCGACGCCCCAGAGCCCGAACAATCAACTTACAAGTCTCCTGAACAACCTCATGCAAATGCAATCTCTCGAGAACAACATCATCCAGCAGCAGGCAGCCGCAACCCCGAATTCATCGTCGCCAAGTCAGATGGCGGCGTCGTCGAATCCTCAGTCGGGATACAACTCGCAGCTTCTGCTCGAGCAGCAGATCAAGCTCACGCAACTCCAACAGTTGCAGCAGCTCCAGAATCAGATATTCCAGCAACAGGCGCGTTATGCTCCCCCTCTTCTCGTCGTACAGCCAGCTTACCATGTATTTCGCTGTTCTTGCAAATTCTGCCACTGCAGATTGCTCTGATCAGCGGACAGTCTCCCCCCATGCTGCCGACATCGCCTCTCTTGGATAATTCGAGACGAGGCAGTGCACCGAACGGCGAGCAGCTCTTCTCTGGCCTACCAACACCTGGTGAGTTCCAACTGCTACCCTCTTGAAAATCAATTTCCGGCATTTCGTTTGCCCGATGTGGCCCCTGGTCGCTCAGACCCCGGCTATATGCAAATATTTTTCCATTTGCTTTATCGGGCCCGCTTTTAAGCTCCTTGCAAGATTCTTACTCGTTACTCCCTCGACTGAGCCTGCTGTCATCGAGGGGGAAGAGTGGTCGAGTTGAAACTGCCGTCTTGGGGTGTCCCATCGGTCGGGTTCAAGATTTGATCTGGCCATAGAGCAGACGACTCTTTGTCTATTTTCCTTATTTCCTTGCGCTAGCCGTCATCGCTTTTATTGCATTCTCGGAGCCACTTTGATTTTCCGGGTGTAGGAAGGCATGCCCGTTTTCACCCCAAACCCAACACGAGTAGAGTTTACTTTTTTTGTCCAGGCTTAGATGATCGTCGATCGTTCTATCCGCGATCGTCAACTCTGATTGCACATATTCCTTAACCTAAACGAACGACCTCTCTTCCGTCTTTGCTTGTTCATCATACCTCATTTCTCCATGACCGTAGTCATATCCTTCATCATTATATCAGCCCTCTACCTGTAAGCTGTTCGTATACCCTTGCACAGCAGCTTCTTCCGCCCATTATCCTGAACTCTACCAATATTTATTTCTGGCGAATCCTGTCCGTTTCCTTTTTCCTCGTGTTCAAATCGGCTACTCCCCGCCCTCATCCATCCACAGGAATTTTAGAATTTTCTCTTCCCTCTTTCGCATGTTATGAGATGGATGCAGAGGCGGACAAGAACCATTTTCGCCTCCCTTTATTTTTTTTTGCCTGCCTTTTCTCTTTTTTATTGGTCTTTCGCAGTGCTAATGCGAGATATCCACGTTCTGCAGGCCCTTCTGGCGAAATTCGGCCACAACAACCCACCATGGACTTCGGATCCTCAATGGGATTAAACAACTACATGGAGCCACTTCCTCATGCCCTCGTTCCTCCCTCGTCATCAGGTTCTCACCAAAATCGACTCCATCGGCAGCAGGGGCATTCGCATGCTCACGTACAAGGACACGCTTCCGGTGCCATGCAGCAGACGCACATGCGTCAGGGCTCAATGAACCTCACTCTACAACGGCAACTTCAAGCACTTGCACAGCAGAGCCAGCAGCAACATCAAACTTCCCCGTACCACCAACCCTCTTCTCCAGCTTCTTTCCAACCTTCGAGCCACCCCACGTCTCCGGTCTATCACCCCACGTCGCCTGCGCTGCATCCTGAATCGCCAATGCACCACCCTGTATCTCCTATGCGCCATCCGACTTCTCCCAATGCGTTTGGCCATGAGTTATATCAGAACCAGCGACAGCAGCCTTATCACCACCACCATAACAGTAGTCAAAGCCTCAACCCGTCTTCCTCATCGACGCCAACGACATCTGCTCCACATTCGGCACCCGAACGCATTGCTTTCAACATCTACACAGGTCCGCTTCCTGGTGGAGGTTCGATACCAGGGCTTACACTTGGCCCAGCTGGAACGCCGCTTGATTCAGAGCAGTCTCAATCCGACCATCATTCTCTCCCGAATCACGCGAACCACCACTCCGATGCGCCAGCAAGGAGGAACAGCATCGCCTCTCCTCAACACGGCGGCCTTGCAATAACCCAGATGCAGATTTTGGACCAGGATATCTCGCCTTTGACAAGTCCTTGGCTCGGTGCCCATCCGACATCATCCAGCTCGTCCTCGAGTCCTGCCGGTGCTGTCGCAGCTGCGACAAGTGCAATTCGGAGCACGCATCGGGCTTCCGGTAGCGTCAGCAGCAACAAGCGTATGGCGTCGTCGAGTGGCGATGAAGGTGGAAGCGCTAGGAAGAAGCAAAGCCCGGCGATCAGGCCTACACTTGCGATGAGCCTCTCGCGCATTAATGGTCCTAGTGGCAGCGGCAGCGCAGGGGTTGACACCGAGAAAGATGCTATCAAGGATAGGAACGACTCGATCTCTCCCCTCGGCGAAGGGAACAAATCGAAAGGTGGTACACCTCCACCGCCCTCTGTTGGAGGCGGCGCTGGAGCTGGTGAAAAGGACGGTCCTCCGCCGAGCTCGTCGTCTGCCTCTGGCTCAATGTCTGGTTCGGTCTCGCCCAATCCGAACAATAACTCGACACCCAATACTGCTGCATCGTCGAGCGCGTCAGCGCGTCGACCGTACCGCGGTTCGAAATCAACAAATTCCACTCCACTCCTACGATCTACCCCCGCGAGTGCGATCACGACGACAACAAGGACGAGATCGAAGAGCCGTGCCCGGGCTTCGGGTGATGCCGTGCAGGACACACCTTCTCCAGTCGACTTAAACTTGGATGCAGATTCTGGTGGAGGGAGTAACATCGACCGATCGATGCCTCCACCACCTTTGCCTGCGTCTATCTCGTCCACCTCGAACTCAAATCATCAAAGGGGTGACGATGTGCCCGACACTAACAACACCAATTTGACATCGAATGGAAGTGAAGAAAACGGCGACGGGATGGGGATGGACATGGACATGAGCATGAACGGCATGGGCATGGGCTCGATGGACATGGGCATGATGAGCATGGGCAACATGGGCAACATGGGTAACATGAATGGGATGAACAACATGGGTGGCATGGGCATGGGCATGGGATCGTTCGATGGCATGATGGGCGACATGAACATGGGCAACATGAATAGCACAGAGATGGGCATCGGCATCGGGATGAACATGGAGATGAACATGGACGACATGGCCTCCTTTGGGATTATGGATATGGCTTTCGGGCAGCAGCAGCAGCAGCAGCAGCAGCAACACCAAAGCCAGCAGCACAGCCAGCAGAACCAACAGATGCTGCCTCCTTCGTCGCACCAGCCTCTCGTGCCGGTTACGCCAGGCAGTATCATGAAGATCGGTCGGCTGGGTATTGGCAACCCCTCTGGCGGAGCTGGTCGCCTGAGTTCTAGTACATCGGCGTCGTCATCATCAACGGCTGTAGGTGGAAATAGCACTGGAAAAGCGAAAAATAGTCGAGCAAAGGACAAGGACCCTGCTGCTGCTGGACCATCGATAGTGACAAGAAAGATGTCGACAAGACGGGCCAATGCCGTTAGCCCGAGCTTGAAAACAATCTTACCTGGTAAGTGTCATTATATCTGAGACTTTCGTGCTGTTTTACGTTGCCTTTCCTGATTCACGTTTTCTTCTAGCTGGAAATATGACGCCAAACATGGTCCCGACGCTACCCTCACCCATGAATGCATCCGCTCCAGGAACACCCGCCGTAGTGCCCTCTGCTTCCAATAGCGCCATGTCACCTTCTGCTACCTCTGTCCTGAATGGTGCATCTACTGGGCCAACGATCCACATTCGCAAGACATCGCACAAAGCCGCTGAACAGAAGCGCCGCGACTCACTTAAGACAACGTTTGATGACCTCCGACGACTCCTACCGCCTATAGCACTTCCGACGGACGGAGACGTCGACCCGAAGAACCTCGCCTCGCCTCTCTTCCACCCTACGGCCCCACTGCTTCCTGGGGCCCTGCCACCCCGCGGACCACCCAAGGCTGGTGGCGACGGTCCGAACAAAGGAGTCAGTAAGTTGCAGTTGTTGATCTGCGCCAATGAATACATCAGGTTGTTGAAGGGGCGTATCGAGCGTCGTGATGACGAAGTGTCGAAATTAAGGGCGGAAGTGGCGCGATTGAGATGTGTAGTGAAAGAGAATGGGGTCATTGAAGAGGGAATGGAAGGGAGGGCGGAGGAACTGGACTTGGAAAAGGACCTGGACGCGATTGAAAGGCTGCATATATCGGCCGCGAGGAGTACTGCCAAAAACGCCGTTCTGGATACGGGAACGTCGCTTGTGGACGATGCGATGGATGAAGGAGACGATGAGGGTGATGACTGAGTCAGACTCCGGTTTGCTGTGTCTGCGATCCGTTGACCTGTTACGCATTGCCATGATCTACGTTTAACGAACTTAAATCCAGAGTCTCAGTATTTTATCCTAAGTTATACCCTCCCCAACCATGTCCTAGAAACGTACAATTCCTTCCTTACCTTACCACGGTCTTCACTATATCTTGTATACGTGTTCTACCTGGTCTCCCGAATCATTATGGTTGCGAGGCAAATGTAGTAATAAAAGCAGAGTTAAACATTGTTCGATGCATGCACAAGTGCATAATTAAAGGTGAAATAGTGAAGGTGGGTATCGGGAATGCATCTTCATGGAATATAGAGCCTCGGCTCGTACGCGGGAGGCAAGTCCGCAGGACCCGCATCTTGGGACCGCCTCGGAGCTGAGTTGTTCAAGTTGCCGTCGAGATCTTGGGAATGTGGTGCTGGCGAATTAACTGGCGGCGAGATATCAGGTTGTCTAGGAGTAGTAGAGCTTGGTTGCCAGAACGTCGGCTCTTGCCTAGATATATGTGGTTGGCCGGATGGATGTGACACGGGCATTGCTGGGTAGACCTGTTGTTCATAAGACCATGGGTTATGAGGCATTGGAGGAGGGGGCGGAGGGGCTGGAGCTGGATGGCGCGGAGAAGACACCATGTAAATAACAGGAGCAAGTTGAGGTGTGGGGGCACGAGGAGGAACGAAGGTTGTATTTCCGTACTGGTGACTATCTCCTTCAGAACCATACGTAAGAATGCAATTGCGGTACGGCAAGAACTCTAGAGGGTAACTTACCTCCTGTGGAATGGAAGTTACGAGCGAATCGCCTCCAGAAGCGAAAGCAGAAACCCATTACAGCGAGCACCACTACCGCTGCAATGATGCCCCCTATCGTTGCAGAATTGAAAGGTTTGCTACTGCTAGAGGAGGTGCCTGTCGTTGTAGTGCCGCCACCTGTGCTAGTTGTCGTCGAGTTCAACTTGGTACCGCTGGAACCTTCGTATACAACAGAGTCTAGCCACAACATCTGTCGAAAGGCAGAGCATTTGAACGGCGGTGGGCAAAGAGAGCAAAGGAAAAGCCATCCCACCTGTGATCCACTAGCGTCTTGCAAAGTGACTAGCAACGTATGGTTCCCAGGTGTTAGGTCTTGATGAAAAAACCGTTCATTGGGTTTCCACGAGGATGGATTGGGAGTCTGGGTTCCATCGAAAGGCGAAAACGAAGTTGGTGTGCCATTGTCTACTGAAAATGAGGCAGAAAGGCGGCCTGCCTGCTGGTTCAATGCGCCGTATACCGAAACAGCAGCTCCTAGAGTGCAGGTTGGACGAACACCAATGAATCGTGTAGGCGTTACTTACCAACGAAATTGAATTTCAAGGTCGACCCGGTCCTGTTGGTCCCACTCAGAGTGTTCTGGTGCGCGACGACGGCACCCTGCAGAGTATCTGCGTTTGTCTTTGTCCACTCTGAGGAGTATTGAAGTAGTGGGTCGTTGTCGTCTAGGAGCAGATTACGCCCGACAAGAGGGGAGAGCCTATTAGGCGTGTATGTGAAGTAGTCAAAACTGAAGAGGCCATTGACAGGGAAGATGTCGACGCTATGATACTGCTGGTCCAAGCCAGATAGGTTCCATATGTTGACACCAGTCTGCAGAGAGATATCAGAGTGATGGCCGATGTATGGCGAACTCTGGGCACCTTCAAGGCTGAATTTGCATTCTTGTTCAAATTGGCCGGCCGTACACTCGACTTATCGATAGTATAGTTGACGAAGATGTCGTTCGTCACGGGAGGTCCATAGAAGTGGAGATCCGAACCTACGAATTGAAGATCCATCGTTCAGCCTCCTCTCCCCATAGTGTATACACGAGCATGAATAATTACCATAGAAATTGAACTCGAGCTTTGGGACCGTCGAGGTATTTCGGTATTCCGTGTGGCACACCGTGACGGTGCGGTTGAAGAACGAATCCGAGTTCGTGGTTGTCGACCAATGAAAACCGACGGTGTAGAATCGAGCTGGGTCAGCATCGTCGACGAGAATGGATGGCGACATGGAGGAGTTGGTGAAGGAGTGTGGAGTTATACCGGATGACAGGTACAGCCATGTCTTCGACTGCCTGGCTACTCAGTGGTCTCCGAGGGCCTTTCAGGGGCCGAAAGCGAGTCGGGACATCCGGGCTATGTGATTTCGTGTGAATGGTATCTGACGTCTGTATAGGTGGAAACTGCGTTCATAAACAGGAAAACAGGCCCATAATCCCTGGATAATCCTTAGTTCACGCACGTTCTTTGTCTCAAATCAGAAAAAATCTCACGTCTGGCAAGTTGGTAAACATTGGGGAGACCCTGCTGCCTGCATTGGGTTGTCACCGGGGAAGTGGATTGTTGACGTTCATCGATCCTGCCTGGTTGCAATGATGAGGTGGTCCCTGATCCAGGTCCAGCTGACGAGAAGCGTGAGAGAGCTTAGTCAGCGCGTAAGATGTGCCACAAGACGAGGAATTCCAGTGAGTTCAGCCCCGAGCGCCTCCGCTTGCCCAAAATCGTTGGGGGAACATCAATGTTTCGCATTGGACCGTCACATTCTCATTTTCAAGAGACCCTACGAGGCACATCCAGTGACACTCCATCTTTTTCTCATCATAGTACGTAGGGAGTAGCATCGTGATTCCGAAATGAAATGCACGCTTGGGCAACGCTTGGGAAGATGGGCGAAAATGGCGTGGTCCTGAAAGTTTAACCAAGACTTTGGATATCATTGCAAAGCTTTCCTCTACATTAGATTCACGATAATCATGATACACACCATCTCGACGCACTACGACAAGAACGCGGCTTCGGGGGTTCCTCTACGTCCGCAGTCGAAGACAAGCAAGCCTTTGATAAACCCTTTGTTAGTTGCCTTCGTTCAGAAATGAAGCGAAGCAGGCTATCTAAAGGCACCCACGAGCTCAATCTGGACGGCGAGCAGTGGGAACGAGTGCCCATAAAACCATCATGAATACCATCATGGCGACCAATCTGCAAGAGATTGCAGGTCAGCAGTTGGTCAGCGGTTTGAAGCGGCAGTGGGTCGACGAGAAAACGAAAAGATGATACGCACAGAGGCTGTAGACTCTTGATTCCATGATTTGCAGCAATGGCTCCTGTCATAAATGGGAGAATTGCGCTTCCCGCTTGACCGAATCCCGCGATCCACCCGATGGAGCCTGTGAGAATCCAACGAGGCAGAATCCGCGAAGCTTGGTTCATGGCGATAGGGTACATGGGCCCGAGAAGGACCCCGACGATCGAGACGGCAACTGCATTCTGGATGAGCGACGGTACAAACCATATGGTGATCTCCAAGCTGGAATATCCATAAACACGAGCCATAGCGGGGTTGTGATGAGACGACGTACGCGATGCACAGGACGGAGTATATGAATAAAACGCGTCTCTCGCCGACCTTCTTGTTGACCCATAGGAGGGCAACTCGGCCGATGGTCAGACCTGATGAGAAGAGGGCTCAGCCAAAGTTGTGTAATCTTAGAAATTGACGGACCTCCGAAGAAACCAGATGAGATATATCCAGACGATGGGCCTCCCCCACGAACTTCGATGATGAAACTAACGATCCATCCTATATGAAAAATGAGTAAAGAAAGATGGCCATCCAGCCACAGATGTGTCTAACCTCCAATGGTGACCTCGACGCCGACGTAAATCAGAATAAAAACGGCGAGTAGATGAACTGCCTTAGTCCTCATGACTGTCTTGAAAGTCCCTTGTTCACTTTCGGCCGTCCGTTCTGGTATAACTTCTCCTGCTTGACGAAGACATTCTAAATTGAAAGCCTCTGATCAATCATGATTTACACCTTCTTACGATGAACAGCTCACCATCCTGGCTCTTGAGCTTGAAGACCAATACCAACAAAATGGTATTAGAAATGGCGAGTCCCAATGATGCGAGGAAATGGAAGGACCATCGAGGGAGTTGGGCAAATTGTGTGGAGACAAGAGGAGCAGCGAAGGCACCACATCCTAAATTCATCGAATTATAGTTTGCACGGCGCATACATGAAGGTCGTGCTCACCATACGCAGCATGGAGGATGCCCATTTTAGCTTCAGCATGATTTTGGAGAGTGGCGACGAATCCGTTGGCTTGGGCATCCTGGTTCTGGTCAAGAGACCATTCCTGTGAGGAAACGACGGGTCATACCTGCAAGGCATGTCCAGCTCCATTTATCGCATACGCCATTACGAATACAGGGAAAGGAGGAGCGGGGGCTTGAATAGCATAGGCAGCTACCTGGCAGAGGCTTCCGAACACAAGCGTCTGCTCTCCAACCTTAGTCAATTGCGTCAAGATTGTACATAATCAATTGCGCACCTTCCCGAAACCAATCCTTTCTGTCAAATAAATGTTGACCAGGGCACCAGACACAAATCCCTACGTTCCGACGAGCGAATTAGGCAGTAATGGAGACCAAGTAGAGAGATAATTACCAGGCAAGCGAACACGAAAGTGAGGGATACAATCGCCGTTCCAACCTGGAAATTGCGTCAATGGATTGCGAACGTGTAAAAAGGCGAACGACTCACCCCATAAACCTCGCGAATTCGAGGCAGCAGAGGACCGATAGTTCCATCGTTCCACCCGGCCAGAAATAATGTCCAGCACAAGGCGAAAAACTGAATGCGGGCGAGTCTCTTCTGCTCTGCGGTGAGAGGATGTCCCTTCAGCGCCGGAGCACCTCCATGTGTCCCATTCGACGATTTCGGTTCGCCCGCTGCGACCTCCTCGTTCAGATCGAGCTTGGATTTTGAGAGCGAGTGCTGGGTGCGAACGACCGAATGCACCGATGGATCAATCGAGTTTCTCTTCGTTCCAATACGCTGCAGTTCAACACCTCCGTCGAGAGTCATGGCGAGAAGATGCAGTCTGTTGGTAGGGTAAGAAGGCAGGACACGTAGGGTAACGAAGTTGACTCAGACAATCGCTTGCACACCGAGAAAATGTTTTTCCGAGGTTAATCCGGACCCACGGCCATGATCCTCCGCCTGTCGAGTGAGATCGTCACAGGAGCGAGGCAGAGCTGATACGATGGCGGTGGTATAGCGCTTCGAACGTGGCAGCGTTTGCGAGGTTCAAAGAGGCTGAGGAAGAGGACTGTCGATGTGGGACTGTCGAAGACAAAATCTGTCGGAGCTGTCCGTGTCTGACCGTGAGAAAGGCCTTCGGTCATCCAGGCTGCCGATCTAAGTTTAGCGCCCATTGAAGACAAGGGATACTAGGTTTGTTGATTTACTCGTTTAATTAATGCCTTGTAAATCTATCAGTTTCCACCCCGACCTCAACTGACTGGGTAAATCAAAGGCGTCAAAGGCAACTTACTGGCACTCAAAGAGGTTCCTCGGTAAGATGATGCTTGAGTGACTTCCGAGGATCCTCGTTGGAGCACTGGGGAAGCAGTCACTTCTCAAAGTTATAGTCACAAAAAAAAGGGGAGAGTTTAGGTCCTCGTTGTCTGATAAAAATAAACGGAAAGATAAACGTTCTGAGAGGTCATCGTAGGAGAGTGGAGACTAGTACTTCTGCGGAAGAGAGTACCCAACTTCCTCTTCCCATTTAGGATCTAACCCACACTCCCGCATGAGGACATCGTATCGATACATCTGCTCAAATAGTGTCTTCATATACTCCTTCAATCGGCCATAATCCTTGTGGACGAGAACCTCCTCTCCCCAATTCCTCGTATGGCTATCCAGGTTCCGTTTTACTGCCTTGTAGTGTCCGTTCTCATCGAGGACGCCGCATGCCTTGAGGAAGTTCAAGTGGGGTATCTGCTGCGCCGGGTAGTCCATACCCCACGAGATCTCTTGGAGGAGACGGCTATAGGAGCGTGGGAGGGCGTACTGCCCGTTCTCGAGCGAGTTGGTCGCCTCGGCGCAGTTGAAATACATGTAAGCGTGCACAGCCGACTCCTTAATCCTCGAGAAGCCGAAGTGGTGCCCCCAGCTGAGGTAGTTGAGGCAGTGTATAGGTACGTCGGGGTGCTGGGCTAGCATGAGGAGTGTCTCCATCTGGTTCTCGAAGAGAAGGACCTTGACAACGTCCGCAAGGTCACCTTCGCCTGTGTAATAGCTGGGTGGATAGGGGTTGCCGTTGTCGTCGGTGTGAGTCGACTGCGCGCGCTTGATCCAGTGCTCGAGTCGCTGGTTTCTCTCGTCAAGATAGGCGGGGTACTTGTCTCTCAGCTCGTTCGAGAAGAGAAGTCCGGACTGCGGTGGAGGGATCTGCTGTGGGTATTTAGCCCGTTCGGTCTCGGAGAAGATGGCTATCGCTTTGGCAAACTTTCGTTTGAAGTGGGCGAGCTCCTGCTCAGAGTTGGGTCTGTCGGTCGACGCAAGCCCAGAAAATGCAGGCGTAAACCGTTTGTCTTCTCGAACGAACTTGAAGTTGGACGTTATGATGTCCCATGGGATGTTATGACCTTGATGCATTGGTCGTACGCTGAGGAAGATAAACTACTGGGGATCAGTTGGAGCAAATACTTCGAGGAGTCAAGACTGACCGTGCTTCTGGGATGGAAGTTTCGGGTTTTCCATGCTACACAATCCTCGGCCTTTTGAACTCAGGCCTCGCCGACGCGCGAGCTTTGATTTCTGAGATCGTCGTTCCGGCGGCCGGAATAGATTAGATAAGATCGTACCCAACGCAACATCAGAGAAGGGCAGATCACTCAAACAAATGGGACACTGTCAACTCGTACATTGATTAATCATTCAATTACATACAATACAAAGTAAAAAAAAAAGATAGAAAATGTTCAAGTTAAACGAAGTTCCAATATCCAGACGTCCATCAAAGTCAACGGAGTTGGCGTTCATTTCCTCACCTCGACGTCTTTTAGACATTCCATATCTGATTAGTGTTGAAATCCGTACACTGCCAAGTCTGAAGTTGGTTGCCATTGGTGAAGAGGCCATTGGTCAAGTCAGTGCATTGGCCTGCCGCGTTGGTGTAAGTCGCAACCCATGACAAAGTAGACAGATGAAATACCTTGTCCTTCCAGGGCAATACGATTATCGTCAGTGTAGTGCCACTGCTGAGCTGGCAAGTTATCGTAGCATTGCCAAATCTTTAACCCGACTCCATTTGCTGGACCTTCAAGGCACAAGCAGTCAATAATCGGACAAACCGGGGCGAAGTGTCGGAGACTCACTCTCTCCCGCATCAAGGCAGAAATTGGTTCCAGCAAGCTGGATCTTCGTACTTCCACGAGTGATGAACCAGCGTTGAGCCGGGGTGTCATTGCAATCGTATCTGAGGCACAATCATAAGTAAAAGTCCTGGGATAAAAAGAGGTGTGACTGACACTTGAACGGCGGTACCGCTCGCGAATTGGGCACCACGAACGTCCATGCACTTCAAGAAGTTGCCGTTAGGGTGGATGGCAATGCCGGGGTTTGGGGGCAGCTGCCCATCGGGACAGAATCTGGACGGCAGGTTAGCATGGTGTTGGAAAGCAAGTGCAACACAACGCACGTTATGTCGAAAGTGAGGTTGGGATAAGGGCAAAAGTAGGAGTGTGGTCCACCGGTCGTGGAGTTCGTTGGGGGAGGGAACTCGTTCGGAACTCCAATAAATGCTTCTGGGCAGTTCGCGTCATTGCATGTGATCTCGGTGCAGAAACCTTGCGACTGAGGAAGGAGGGAAGATCGACAAGCGTAAAATCGCCACCGCAGGGAATGCACTTACTAATCTCGGCGCAACCGTCAATCCAGTGTTAATCGCTCCAGCGTCCTTGATCAGCCAATACAAACCCTAATGGGAGACTAAGTTAAACACGTAGCGAAGGACGTTCTCGAGAGCCTACACCCCAGAAAGCAGCACGGGTCGTTCCCACACCATTGAACCTTCCGCCATTGACATCGGTATACCAGAAATTTGCACCGATGTTCGCAACCTTGGTCACGTCGCCGCCGGCAGGGATGACCTGATCAAGTGCTCCTCCAATAAAAAGATTGATGGCGCGAGGGCATCTGTTGTGAACGTAGTAGGGACGAGTGTCTTCCTGGCGACGTTCGAGAGGAGACCCGCTCGTGATTAACGGGAGGAAAGAGAAGAAGATTGCGAGAAGCATTTTTGGGGATGCTCGATGAAATAGGACTGTGAAGTCGAACTGCATTGCAGTGGAACCGAGGTCATTTTATACCACCTTGCCCTCGGTATGAACGGAGCCGTGCCAACCAAGTTCTTCCATTCCCTCAGAGACCAGATCTCTTCGAGCTCGAGGTTTGATAGTCCATCAGGCATCCTTGCCAGAAACAGAAAGGGACGGTTCTTCGCGGTCTGTCCTGACCAGTTCATTTCAAGATACAGTAATCTGGCGCCTATTGAACCAATCCCCGTCGACAGATCAGATATGCACGTACGATCGAGTGAATCGAGAGAGCAAGCTCCGAAGTCTGCAGCTTTTGAACACCAGCGGAAGGCAGTGTAAGAACGGGGACAAGACAACCCAGACTGGTAAGGATCATAGCGGTATGAACTTGGGCTCGCCTCTGTCTGGTGCCCTCGGACCTCCCGTGGATGACGGGTATGAACTTGGAATTGGAAGCAGCGATATGAGGCCCAGTCCAATGTATGAACGCTAGTAGGGATTCAGAAGAGATTCGCAAGGAGGGGGCAGAGACTGGGTAAGATGGCTTCTGGACTTGAACTTCCGGGACGGCCGGCCCCGGAGCTCACGGACGATGCCGATCACTATGTTGATTCGGCGGCGACGGTTGAGCCTGGTTGTCATTGAGCTCCTTTCGTTCTCTCCAGGACTGCCGCCGATGTTGTATGGAGCCTCCGTGGGGCTCTCTGTGGGTTTACTCATAGCGCTCGTCGTGAGAAAGGACGTGTTCATGTAATCCAGAGGAGGATGGTTCATCAACCGTGGAATTTATGTAAGCATTTATTCCCTCATACAAATGCCCCCCTGTTCTTCCACATAAATGTTAGAAACTAGGCTTGACAGGGGAGCTACTTACCATGGAGTCCGATATTTACTGCACTCTGTGCTGTTTGAGGTGTGTCCTCTTTAATTCCTTTATCAATTAATAATTCTCATATGTAGCTGATCGACCCCATAGAAAAGGTAGCTGGCATTTCCCAGAAATGTCGAGATTCTCCGGTTGGGCATTCATTTGTGTGCAAAGAGCGACCGGGAAACACGAACCAACTTTGGGCGCCACCCCTACATAGTTCCCGCGACGGATCCGATACCCCCCTGCAGTCATCGCCGAGAACCTCGCTTTCTATAGTATACTGCAGCCTTCATCTTGCTATTGTATGATTTGCTCTAGAGCTCTCCATACATATACTAACTATTTATCCTTCAATCCTGGAATTCTCCGTCTCTTCTGGGACGTTCAACTAGATGTTGTAATGGGGAATCTTCCTTGGCGCGGCCGGGCCGCCGGCGGATTCAAATTAAGCGCTCTCTAAGCGAGCGCCACCTGACTCCTGAATGCATCCGTGTTTCCAGCTCATCTGGGTACTATGAGACGGTGCAAACGAAGGGTATAGGTCTATATCTATATTATGTAGGAGCCCCGCTACCATGCACATGATCATCCACGAAGGAGCAGACGCGGGACACCAAAGGGGCAGGCGCTTAGTCGCACCCGCCAGGCATCAGTCTGTTCTTCGGCCAAGGTTGCCCGAAGTCGGACCAAATAGTAATGTTGGGGTTAGTATATGCCCCCTTGTATCTATAGGCAGCCAAAAAAAATTGAGCACATGCAATTTCAACAAATCTAGAGTAGCTCACGTTTCTATGTACTTCGCTGTCGGGAAATCTTTCGGGTCGCATCCGATGTTGATTTCCCCCTGGCGTTGGTATACCCTGATGTAGTCCACGAGCATGATGCCAGGTATCTGGAGGTTCGCAGTGTCTATGACGCTGAAGTCCTCTGATATCCCCAGATTGGCGATAATGTACTAAAACACAACGGTTAATTGGTCCAAAGTTCGAAGAATAGCAACCCGAATTCACCATAGGTTCTCGTGGGATTGGCCGACTGGAAATTTCCACCAAGGGGTCATCCACGAAAGCCGAGGCGTATATTGTCCAAGCAGTTACTTCGTTGATCCAAGTGACATACGCGTCGTCGAAGCTGTACTGAAGTCAGACACAAATTGGTAGGCACTCGCGAGAACGGACCCAGGTTTGTACTCAAATCCATAGAGAGCGAAGCAAGTCCCGGGATACTGGTAGCAATTAGGGTTCGTGTAACCGAGGCCGCTCACCGCTTGTTGGTATCGACCTGCCCTCAGCGCAATTTAGTCACACCCCACCGACGAGAAGAAAGATCTAGATCATGCCTCCCATGTACGTGTTCTTGAGGGTTCGCTCGGGGTCGTGGAACTTAGTGGTATCGTTATTGTAGACATATGCATACCGGGCCTGAATACATCATCAGTGGACAGAGATCGGAGACGGGCAAGAAGTGATACATACGTTGAAAGGCGCAAACTGCGCGGAGAGCGACACATGGCCTACGCCATGGGTAACAGTAGCCTCGAACATGTCGATTTCGGGTGCCGAGCGGCCAACATACTCGCCGTTCTTTCGAATAGGACCCGGATGTGATTCTCCAGGGCAGGTACAGGCAGCTTTACATGTATGAATACGAATTCCTTGAGGTTAACAGGAACTCACAAAGGCGTTGGCCAGGCAAATAAGACTAGATATGCACCAATTCATTATAAAATCCGCTGTTAAAGAGAGAGCGCAGCAGAGGCAAGACTTACCAATTCGCCGTTCGCCTTTCCATCGCCGTTTTCCAAAGCAGCTATGGGTCGTCGCTCTCCAGGATAGGTTTGATTAGGAAGTGTGCCGACGTCACAAGCTTCGTATGTATATGGCCACTATGGAGAATACGAGTACAGAAATGGACGAGAGGGAGAAAAGGGTCGCACTGTGCCCTCGAGAGTTGCGCCATATCCAGCGCGTCCTGGAAGGGTGTTTCAAATTGATCGTGGAACGCAGGGAGAGAAATTTGCTTGCCTAAATTTCCCAGCGTCCAACTTTTCAATGGTACAGTTTGTTAGCTCATCTACGAGGGAAAATAGAAAAATAAACGTACATGGCAGGCCAGAAACCACTTTACCGCGTCCGCCGTTAGATCAGCTACCATATGGGTTCTCAAAAACCCACCTAATATCATTGGAGCCGGGGAGTTGGACACTCGCTAAAATAGGTTTTCGTCCTTCGGGGTAGACAATGATCATGACCAACACGCACCGACAATGAGTCCTCCAGTGAAACAGAATTTGTTCCTGTGGAATCGGTCTGATAAGTTACTCAAACTGAAACCGGCGACCATCACTCTCACCAGCTTTGGATCTGCGAAATACGAGAGCGGTAAAAGTTATCGAAGAGCGTGCATCAAATTTCTTGAAGGGCATACCATTCCGGATCGATAGGTCATGTCATGATTAATTGATGTATCTTCGAAGCGATCCAATCTAAACACCAAATTGCCGTCCTTCGTTGTTGCTATGAACAACAATGCAACCGTCGACAAAGGCGCTCTCCACGGAGGACAAAGTAGACCCACCTTGAGAAGGGTCGTACCACTCCAGGTTGGACTGTCGTCATCTTTGAGCGTCAAGTTCACAAACGGACAACAAGCGCTTAAATACTCACAGTGCCCCAGTAATGCAGGTCAACAGCTTCCCAAAATGGATCATCGCCAGGATAGAAGGTCCTTCCGTCGGTGTTAAATTCGTCGGAGAAGACGAGTACCAGCTCTTCATCGTCCATCGTGGACTTGTACGTATAGGCGTCCTTGGGTGTGTCCCGGTCGATCAGGCCGAAATTTCCTGGAAGGTCAGGTATTTGTCCTGATGCGTTGGTACCGCCCAGGTTAAATCCACCCTGGTTGGTGAACTTCATGCTCGTCAAGTATGTCAAGATAGGATAGCCTTTTGCGAGTGGATGATTGTAAGAATGAAACCCTACTAGCAACGGAATAGCAGACGTACCGGCACTGGCGATTGAAGTCAGCCCACTGTGAAGTCAGAAACGAAAGGAGGGAAGGCGTACAAAAGCATCACGAATCCTGCAGCCAGGATCAGCAAACAGCCTAGGTTTTCCAGACCACGAACAGTGAATATGCTTCCACCTCTGTCAGAGTTTTTGTCTCGACGTGGATCAGGGTTGTGCAGATCGTCGTCGGGTTCGCTCATGGACATTAGCAACGGTGTACCCCATGCCGCTGGGGAAGCTGGGAGAGAGTACTATAAGGATGGAGTACGTCACCTCTTGACCGGAAGTCTTGTGCGCTACAACGACATACCTTGTCCGACACTGAGGGCTGCGGCACAACACCTACGGTCAGCATCGACGGAAACGAAGAAAATGAGGACGTACCGGGTGGGACATTGATGCACGCGTTCCACTGTCTGGGCCATAGAACCCGCTACCCTTCACGGAAAGAATATTTCTTTCTCCGGTAAGTAAAGGCTTGGTGGATAATCGACTCTGGCTGTCACTTCGCGGTCGGTTCATGGTCGAAACGGTCGTTAAAACGAATGTGAGCGATTAGCAGAAGGAGTGAAAACGATTAGAAGAGAAAGGGATGCGACCTTCGGTCCGTCTGCGTCTTTAAGGCATCGTGAAGGACAACACTCCACTGAGTCCACTCTGTACTATGAAAAAGAAATGCCAAGCATTCCGCGTCGCTGTGGGCGAATCCTGATGGCTCGTTGAGTACATGCTCCAACGCAGCTTCTCCACGGGCCATGCTGCAAAAATCAGCAAAACAGAAGCTCCTGTGTCGGTAGAGGTATGCCGCTTGATCGATGTGGGAGAATGACGCCAAACCAGTCTGATCGACTGCCATATTAAGCGCCTCCGGCCGCCTAAACGTGAACATTTCAGTCACTCGACATATCTCAACCGCGTAATGCAAGTCCTCGAGTGTTTCAGCGTGGCGGTTCGCAATGGAAACGGTCTCATAAAGGATTACCCGTGAACAATGTCCGCACTTTTGCAATGCGAACAACGCCAGAGTCGGAGAAGCGTCCTAGTAGTCACATTCTTTGAGGCTAGAGCTTAAACCATTTAAGCCAGAAACACCTCTGTGGAGCAACCGACGGCGCAATGTTTTCGGATCACAGATACGACAATGCCCAATCTCCGAGTCCCGGACTTCCCGATCAATGCAATTTCCTCGCTGATAGCAGATAAAGAGCGGACTACTGTAGGATACGTCCATTCTAAAACTAGTAGCGAACATTATCCTCAGAGCGCTTTTCTGAATGGCGGAATAGTGGATAATTTAAAAAAATAATAGCAAAAAGAAAAGCCCTTCGACTCAGCGCTCAGTTTGACTAATTTTCACGTACTTGCCAGCGTGTGCGCCGTTATTCCCAAACATTAACTATTGCCCGCTTTGCTGCTCCCCACTAACGCAAGGAAGGCAGGGGAAAAAGGCAACTTCAACGAGGATATCGCAGCAGAGAAGGAAGTAATGTTTCGGCACCTCACGACAAGGAGGTCTTTCAAGCCATGCGTCCACTGGAAGTTAAATAAGTCCTTCCCATCAAATGCCCAGGGGCCTTCCGGATTCGGCCAACGGGCGCCTATTCTGGGGCCAATGCGTCGTATAGCAATTCCTCCAGGTTGCCACGCCTCTTATAACGGAGTCGGGAAGAATGGTGGCAAATGAATCGGAACAACTGCAGGCGGCTCCAAAATTGCCCGAGTTTTGAAGACTCGTCGCTAGTTTCACAGCCGGCTCGATCACCCCGTGGTCATAAGGCCCCTTTTTATGGGCTTCAGTCCTTCTGTGACGGCATGATGGAGGGCGATGTACGCGCCAATTCTCCACATCCTACCATCTTGGAGAGGTATAAATCGATCCACACCTCAAGGATCGAGTATCAAAGTTGCAGAGAGTTCCAACTTTAAAGACTCGTCACTCTTGTGATCTCCAGGGACACTCTATTCGAACGCTCTGTTTCCTATCAACAAGGTAATGCAGTGGTCCATCTCCTTTCAGGAGCACTCCGTTCTGATCTTATAGTCAGGGCTTCGAATGAAAATGGGATATATTAGGCAGCTCCTTGCAAAAGCCTGGGAAACCCTTGCCCCAGAAATGGCATCAGACGGTCGGTATAACAAGGCCGTCATGGCGTTTGGAGCATACAACGCGTCCCGCAATGAAGGCGACCTCAAGAGCGCTCTTAGTCACTTCCAGGAAACAATCAGATTGCTCCGTCGAACAAGCCACCCGAAGCTTGCACTCGCTTTGACCAACTACGCATACGCGCAATGGATCCATTGCGAGCGAAATGGCAAGCCCGAGGTCGAAGTCAAGTCAGTTATCGAGCTGTACGAGGAGGCCAGGCGCGTTTGGAAGAAGGATTCCACCGTGCTCCACACCAACCTCAGGAACGCCTATCTTGAGATGTATGCCCAACAGCGATCCCGCACCGATATGATAGCGAACGCTATCAAGTGCCACGAGCAGGCTCGTCATCCCAGCAGCGACGGTAAACAGAAGCAGAAGGTGGTGGCCACAATCAAGCCTGCCACTGCACTTTCAACTCGCCGTGAACAGCAGAGCAATACCAATCGGCTTGACAAAGCCATCGCCTTCCTGGAAGACACTTCGAAGTTCTTCAAACCAGGCTCTGACGATTTTCACCATGCGCACAGCGAGTACGAGCTCGGAAACGCGTACAATGTCCGCTATAAACGCGGAGGCAACGTGAGAGACCTCAACCTTGGCATTCTACACTTCCGGAACGCGATCGACTCTTATCCCGAAGGCGACGAAGACGGCTGCTTCGCTCAGTTTGCGTTATCACAGACACAGCTGGTTCTGTACCATGCCTTGAATGACCCTCGAGACCTGGAAGAAGAGGAGGTCAACGCTGGGAATGGGTTGGAGCAAGCTGCTCAGCTTTCAAACGCAGAGCTTGAGAGGAATTTCTCCACGTTGATCAAACACGTAAGGAGCGCCCGAGAGTAGGGTTCATGTCCTTGAACGAGGTTTTCGATATCGCCCACACGCTGGACAATTGAGTATCCCATTGTGCTCTCTCTTCTTGCACCTCTCTTAGTCACCCTAGTTGCATTAGCTGTCTATGATTGAAGACGCGTCTCTAAGTGCGAAACCTTTCATTAAGAATAAGCGAATAGATTCATTGTGCAAGAGAGCAGACAGATACCTCAGATATTCCCGACAGTTGTTCAACGAGCAGTGGTCTGCTGTCCGCCAACTTTGTGAGTCACTCTATCAGTCAACGAAGCATCGGCAGCGTTAGGCGCTGGAACTTCCAGCTTGGAGTTGAGTTCTCGCTTAACAGATCTCATATCTCCTCTGAATCCAAGATAGTATATCCTAGAAGACTCTTCTCCAACGGAATCGTTCTACAACCCAAAATTAAGCCAGACCCGGGTAAAATGGACTGACAACGCACAAAGAACAGTGATAAGGAGTGTACGCTGGCAAAAGCGGCCACCCTCATTGGATACTCGACTACTCCAGTTTCACCCTCCAGAAGGCTGATATTGACGTGAGGCTTTAACGTCTCAGCTTCAGAAAAGTCCACAATGTTGGAGCGATTTGCGTAGATTCGAAGATGACGGGGCGTAACTTCACCCCTTCCTTTTCGCACAACCGAGTCAACTTAAGAACAACTATCAACCATATGAACGGGCGTACCCAGTTTCAGAAGGACCGACTTGATTCGAACGTTCTCAGTGAATGGGATATGGACAATGAGCTTCGAATCCTTTCAACTTCTGCATACGACAAACAGCGGGATGCGCCTCTCACCTGATCGTCGACGTTTGAGTCAAGATATTTGGAATTGTCCTCCCTCTCATCCCAGGGCTTGATGATCTCTTTCGCATCCTCTGGAACCGTTAGATTCAGACCATGAACGCTTGGCTCGATGCAGATGAGATTGTTGCCGTGGTTTAAGCAATAAGCAACAAGCTCACTTGTCTCTGTCGATAACTCGAAACAAATTGGACAGATCCGTGCCAGCGAGGTCTGCCGTGAGAGAATTGAGCTCAGAAGTCATAGAATTAGACGCCATGTTGAGGAACGTGGTGGGCGGAGGAAAGATGCGCAATGGATGTCGGCTATTTGTGCCCCGGCTGCTTTTGGCAGCACCGTCTGTTTTCGGGCTCTCCTCCAGTTTGTCCAACCATCATGAACAGGCTGCTGCTACGCCCGGTGGCGCGCGCAATTCGCGTGCAGAGGTCTGCAGTGTGCACTGCTAGCGCATCACGGTCTCTCATCGCATCGCAATGTCGGAAATTCAGTTCTACGAGTCCAGCGAACAAGCGGAAGACGCCCAAAAACATGCCGACTGCCGACTTTTTCGACGAGATCCCAGCGGAGGTGGTGGAGAAAGCATCAGAGGTACAGTTGGGTGCGCTGTCCTTGGTCTATCGTCTTGAGTTCGCGTTCATTGTCCATAGGTGCCACGACGCCTAAACCAGAGCCCACGGATGCTTCAATACCAACTGCGAAAAGTGAGTGGGCATCCACGTAGGGCCCCAGGAAGCTCACGAACTCTTCTCAAAGTAGAGTCCAAACCACCATCGAAACCTAGTTCCAAAGGGGAATCTTCATCCTCCAGTGGGTCACTTACGTCCTTATATTCTGAGAGCCCACTTAACCTTCATAACCGCGCTCAACAGTATCTCAACTATCATTTAACCCCGAACACTACTTCTCTTCCTGGTCCTCACCTCATGTCCACGAGATTTTGGCCTCGCAGGGTGAGTAAGCGCCATGGAATCCCTTCCCGGTTCTAACTCGTCTGCCAGAAATGTCGCTATTCGACTACATTGCCACCGCCATTCAAACACCCACGAGCTTCGAGGTCATCGCCAGCCTCGAAACCCAATCCAAACTCGAGTTTGACAAGCGTTGGACATTGTACGAAGCGGAACACGGGCAAGGCGAAGTCGTGAACAACATGAAGTCGCTCCTCCCGGTCTTGGACTTCTTCCTGCACCGCGGCTTGCAAATACGACCACCATCTCAGGACCTCGTGCATCTGCTGAATCCAATCGACAATTCCGGGGAGTTCGACCTTGATGGCGTATTTGTCTCCAAAATCGACCCGGCCACGGTGGAGCAGGCGTACGCGGTGGCGAAGGAAGGAGACTGGCAGGCCCCGAAGTTTAAACTAAAACGTACGCAAATCTGTTGACTTTCTTCTCGACGCACAGTAATCGTCCTTTGCAGATTTTCCGACCCAATTCAATGACTATCCCGACCTCATGACGCCCGATGCTCTGCTCGACCCACGCGACGTGACCGAATTCCCTCCTTCCAAAGATAGCCCCTTCCACAACCGCGTCATTGTGCGCAACCACCGCTCCGTCTTCCACAACTATGCTGAGGGCGTCTCGGAGGACCTGCTCGAGGACGACGAGCTTCCAGAGAATGAGGGCCAGGATACCGACGAGATGCTCAAGGCCCTACCTGTGCCGACCAAGTACTACATGAACCTGCACCAGTCGATCCTCATGCGCCGCTCCGTCGTTCAGCAAACAGGCAAGGGCAAAATTCGCCGTGTGGCGTTCATGGTGCTCGTTGGTGATGGGAACGGGCTGGTCGGATACGGCGAGGGAAAGCACTCGAACGGGTCCGTCGCGCTGAAGGCTGCCCGCCTGGCAGCGGTGAATAACATGGACTGGGTCGAGCGCTTCGAGAAGCGTACGATCTGGACGGAGATGAGCACCAAGCTTGGGGCGACGCAGATCATCCTCCGCCCACGACCTGTTGGTTTCGGCCTTCGCTGCAACCCTTTCCTACATCGTATCTTGCGCGCGGCGGGTCTGAAGGATATTAGTGCGAAGGTCTGGGGTAGCAGGAACAAGCTCAACGTCATTAAGGCGGCATTCAGGATGCTCCATGCTGGGCATGCGCCGACGAGTATGGGCGACGGTATTGGAGGAAAGGGCAAGAAGCTCAGCAAGGGTGGAGGTTTGAAGAGCAAGAGTGATGTAGAAAGGGCAAGGGGTAGGAAGTTGATCAACCTCCGGCTATGATTCCTCCGGCAGACCACATAGAGTACGGCACCGCTGCTCCTTGCACCTACTCTAATTTACATCTATACACATTCCTTTGCTTTCAAGTTAATCACGTACCCGGCAACCTCCAGCGATCAACTCCTTTGAACCTATCGCACGTCTCGAGTTGGATCCACTTGTAGACAACATCCTCATTGATAACCGCATCGTGAATACTTGGTCATGAACCTTTGACTATATCGCCCATATGAGCCTTGATGCTCTTTGATGAATAACGAGGATTAAGACCGGTAACGAAGAGGTGGTCAGTGTCGAGCAGCGAAGAGCCTGGTTCATTATTAATATATTGTCACCAGTAGAGGACATCAAGGCTAAGTGAAGCTATTACAAAAAAAAAAAAAAACAAGAATACTACACTACTGGCGGCAGCGCGATATGAAATGCTAGGTATAGATGCGCTATATACGAGGACCCTTGGGCCATCAAGATGTTTATATGGATAATCGTTAGGGCATACAGGCAAGGTGGATCTATGGAGAATGTCATTGATGTAAACAATTGTCAGTGTAAGTATATACTACGTGGCTATGAAACAGGTCAGAGAGTGCGCATATAGTGTGATTAATAGCAGTAGGACTCACTGCAAAGCGGTGTCGAATTAGTTACATGTCGTAATTCAAGCCGTGGCATTTTGGTCGTTGGCAATCACTTGAGGGCTCATGATCACCTCGAGGTGCACTTCAACGCTCTTATTCGCGTACATTGCTTTGAGATCAGGAATCGCGTCTGCTTCTTCCGGCGTGGAATGGGTCAAGCAAAGCCGAACCACTTTCAGTTTCGACGCCGTAACACCCTGGGTTGTTGAACTTGGACCAGATTGGATTGGTGGCTGGGACGTTCTGGAGTGAATCATCTGGGTGAGGCACGGCCACGTAAACACCTGGGTGCCGGAATACGTCAATTCCTCGAGGAGCGGTAGCAGACACGCAACCTTCTCGGCTTGAGCATAGGCGGGATCGCACGCGCGGAGCACGGCGTCTGTCAAGGGTGAATTGTTCAGAACCCCCACGGGCATGTCTAACTTGAACGACGTCAAGGATGGTACTGCCCGCAGGAGGATAAGGAGACGTTGTTCTAGTAGGCCGCATTCGGTGAAAGACAGGCTCTCGAGAGCACAGGCAGAGCGCGATATGAGGGTGACGAAATCTTGTATGGGGGGAGGGAGGGATCCTTCAGAGGAAAATGCCAACTTGCGTAGGACAGGTGTCGTGATCTTGTTGATGAGCGCCTGTAGATCGGCTCCCTTGTCGTTGACAATGTTCAGGTGTTCTAGTGCGGGGAGGATGATGCAGTCCTCCGGCAGCGTATGCCTGTCGTCTCCTCCGAGTATCCGTCGAAGGGTGAAATCGACTAGTCTTGGCGTTTGGCGCAGCATTTCGAGCGTCTCGTCGATGTAGAAGGATTCGAGGTTGAGGCTTGTCAGGACTTCCCATTGGAACTTGATGGAGCGAAGGTAGAGGCACGTCAGAGAGAGGTGGGTGAGTTCGGGTGAGTTATGGATGGTAACGCGGTGCAAACGATCGCCTTGACCACCTGGGGGTTTGAGGTAGAGGCTTTGGAGAAGAGGGAGGGAATGCGTGTCATCCGAAGGGGGGAGATATTCGTAGCATGCAGATGGGAGACGTACATCGAGCCTGCGCCATCGAGACGCATATTCGGCGATCGTCTTCATGACCTCCTCGGGACTGACGTTCACCCACGACATGTCCGCCGAACAACTAAGTTGTATGAAGAGGGGGAGCTGGCCGGAACGCGAAAGCCACTCCTGCAAAAGGAGGACCTGCGTCGGTAGTCTGACGAAAGACGTAATGTGCAGGAATATGTCTGCCCAGAGAGCTGGTGTTGACCAGGCGATCCTGCGCCACACTGTGCACACCGCTGCAAGCCGCAGTGGTTCTGAGCTGCTCTTCGGCATCTTCTCCGGATCCGACTCTTCGACTGGGAGGCAGAAGAGGAAGATCTCCGAGACGATCTCTGGCGGTAGCATCTTGATGAATGCGCTGTAGAGCGTATTAATGCGCGCCTTGAGATCATGCGAGCGGTTTCTGAGACCTGCTAGGATAGCAGACACTCGGGCCACCTCGCGTTCGACCAACACGAGTTCCGCACTTGGGTCATCAGGGATGCTTGGTATGTTGATTTCATGGGGATGTGCGTGGCCGTTGAGACATTTGTTTCGATTGTTGGTGAGTAGTATGTCCCCGTTCGCAGTTACATCGAAGTCTTGGACTGCTGCATGGTCGTCGAGGTCCTCATGCTGATAGGTCATGGAGGTAAACGGCAAGAATACCACTGACATGCGGAACTACAATCGCCGGCAATACGGGCCGGCTACACAACTTGTCGACTCCAGGATGAGTCGGAGAACTACTTCGATAACAGTCATCAAGTTGGAAACTCATTTGTCAGGCAAGTTTTGTGCTCTCCATGAACGTCGTGGTATTAAGGTTACATCTACTGTACAACAGAGAGGCGTATCATGGGCACTTCCGATCTCAAATATCCAATCTAATCGAGCTCATCGTAGTAGTATTCACGAAGGGCGAGCTCCTCGGCATCCTCGAGTTCGCGCTGTTCGGGCTGCTCCTGGGAAGAGGTGACAGCGTTGGTGGCGTCGGCGGCCTTGGAGCCCTTGCTGAAGATGCCTTTGACCTTCTTGAAGATCTTGCCGAGGAAGGGGTCGCGGGCTGCGAGCTCCTCCATCACCTCGAGGTCACGGGCCGACAGCGCAAACTCTTCAAAGTCACGGCGGAGAAGGACCTTGGCAGCGGTTCCTGCAACCTTCTTGGCGACACCGAGGACCTTCTTGAAGAACGGCTCACGAGCAGCCAGATCCTCGAGAAGCTCGAGTTCACGAGTGGAGAAGGAAACCTCCTCGACGTCGCGGCCCATGACCATGTGGCCGACAGCAGCGGTTGTGCCCCGGACGACACCTTTCGCGATGCGGGCGATCTTGCCAAGGAAGGGGTCCCGAGCAGCGAGCTCGTCCATGATCTCGAGCTCACGAGCAGAGAACTCGACCTCCTCGACGTCGCGGCCCATGACCATGTGGCCGACAGCGGCGGTTGTGCCTCGGACGACACCCTTCGCGATGCGGGCGATCTTGCCGAGGAAGGGGTCGCGGGCAGCCAGTTCGTCCATGATCTCGAGTTCGCGAGCGGAGAACTCTTCGATGTCACGGCGGAGAAGGACCTTGGCGGCAGTACCGGCAACCTTCTTGGCAACACCGAGGACCTTCTTGAAGAAGGGTTCCCGAGCGGCGAGCTCCTCCATGAGCTCAAGCTCGCGGGCGGTGAACTCGACCTCCTCGACGTCGCGGAGGACGATGCTGGCGGCGGTACCGGCGACCTTCTTGGCGACACCGAAGACCTTCTTGAAGAAGCTGGGTTCCCGGATAGCGAGCTCCTCCAACACCTGCATCTCGCGCTCGGACAGCTCAATGTCTTCGAACTCCCGTGCACCGATGACGCCCTTGGCAGTCTCAACGCCGACGTGCGCGACCTTCTTCGCGACACCGAGGACCTTCTTGAAGAAGCTGGGGTCCCGGATGGCGAGGTCCTCCAGGTACTCGATCTCACGAGCAGACAGGCCCATCTCTTCAAGTTCCCGAGCACCGATGACCCCTTTGGCGGTCTCGAGGCCGACGTGGGCGACCTTCTTCGCGACGCCGAGGACCTTCTTGAAGAAGGGCTCGCGGATGGCCAGCTCCTCGAGGAGTTCGAGGTCGCGTGCCTGCTGCTGGGTTGCGGGCACTAGGGCGGCGCCAGTGGCGGCGACGGTGACAGCGGTGCCAGCGTGCTTGCCGATCTTCTTGAGAAAAGCGCCGATCCTAGGGTCGCGGGCTGCGAGCTCCCTGCAAAAAAGGGAAAGCGTTAATTCAAGGGATTCAGACGGTAAGAAATCCAGAGAAAGCGTCGACGTACTGAGTCTCGAAAGGGGCAGCGAGAGCGGGGGCAGCGAGGAGGGCGGCAACGAGGACGGTGTTGGTGAGTTGAACCATGGTGATTTAAAAGAGTAGAGGATGGGTGATTGATTTGTTGCGGAAGGGTAGCTTGCGATCTACGCAGCGTCGATTGATTGGATGGATTGTGTGGGGGTATGAGACCAGCTGAAGAACCAGAATGGCCCCCATCGTCCTTTTATAGGGGACGCGGGATGGACGAGCGGCTCCTATCAGCGCTTAGAACGGGATTGTCGCTGATCTGCAGCGCATGGTTTCTATTTTTGGTAGGGAAGCAATGATCGACATGTCGAGATGCGCGATTGTCAGGAACACTATCTTCTTCAGGAGAGTGATCAGCGAGGTTTCTAAGGCGAATTGAATTCTCGCCGCTATCGCGCTCGTTGCGAAGCCGGCTTGCGCATGGGGAGCAGAGACTTCTTTGAACATTTGTCCTGATAACCGCTATTTTTACTCGCGTCCCCATTGCATCCTTGAAGCTTTAGACTGATCCACGGGAGATGCCCAAGGTCAAGCCTCCGAAGAGAGTCTAGGGGGTACCATTCAGAAACAAACTGGAAGGCTTACATGACTGGAGGCGGCTGGACACAGCGACAAGGTCATCCGACGACCATCAGCTTGCACCTCGACCCAAGGCTATGAATTTGAGCAGCTGCCTGTAACTTCCTCACTACCTCGATATCGTCAGTTTCCAATTTCGTATACTCGAAACCCATGAACTCACTCTTCTTCGGCAGAGTGACAAACCCGTTGTGGGTGTTAGGGGGAGAACACATGTTGTGCGGGAACTAATCAAAGGCCCTCATGATCAAAGAGGATGCTCGCTAGATCTGTGAAAACCGGGGCCCGATACATAGACAATAGCAGGTGCTCGTCTTGATTCAACGAGGCAGAGGCAAAGATTCGTTGAATTCAACGTCTTCTTATTTTCCCAATGGCATCCTATGGCATGGTCGACGAAAGAAATGACTGTTCGAAGCAACCGACGAACGATGGAGACCCAGAAGACCACGCCAATATAGTGGGCGCTTGCCTGGGATAAAACTATTGAGAAACCCCATTTTTGGGACAAACCCCGGGTTTCTGCGGAAACTCATGTGAAAGTGATGACTTCTAAGCCGCCGAACTCTGCCGACGGGCGGAGTTGAATATCTTGAGTCGAGGCTCACGGAAGTCGACCTTCGCTGCCCTCTCGCTGCCCTCAAGCATGGGTTGGAGATATCCTAAAGCTTGTAATATTTTGGTAGTTATGCGCCTCTTTAAAATTTCGTTGTTCCCTCACTGCGACCGCCGACAATGGCCCACTGGCCGAGTTTTCGAGAGTACGCATCGCCGCCGCCAGTATCTAGACTACTCAGCTGCTTTTTTCTCCAAAACTCACCATTTATTAAGTACCAGAGATAGATTTAACTATCCAACAATTTCAGACCATTACACCTCTGCATGCTGGCCTATTTCTTCGACATGACCTAAGTCCTCCGAGAGGACAATTACAGCGGAGATTGAAACCTTATCAGCGCGAATTGGGTTTCCAAATAAGCGATGGGGTTTCTCCGAAAAATGGGGTTTCTCAATACTGTCCGTAACCGGTTACTCGGTCACACCAGCTACTCGGTCATTGCCTTTGTAGATGGCACAGTTGCTCATTTCACTCCATTCTTTTTGTGCACTCATGTATAATAGTATCAGAGCAATGTAACTGCATTTTTTGGCAGACAGAACACCATTCCTCGCGGAGAAATGAGCCTCCCCTTGTGTCTGGTGACGCGTGACGCGCGATTTCCTTATTTGATACCATGTTTCTGGTGGTCCCGGAGGGCTTTTCTCGACAACATGACACATTGCCAGGAAGATACTTTGGACTTAAGAATTTCATAGTGACTACTTTATAATTAAGCAAGTTTCTCTTATGTTGAAGGATTGCTGGACTTCCAACCTTGAAAATTGGAGAGTGTGTCATTTTGGAGGTGGATTGGACTGTTCCTGCTGATTTCTCTTAGTACAAAGCATCTATTGCATAAACAAAGAGGTAAAATGAATTGTGAGGCGAATATGTGTGCATAAAAGAAGATCCCCTAATTTTTACAATTTTCTTCCAAACATAAGACACCAAGCAATTGAAAATTCTTGTTTTGAGTGATGAGAAATGTCAAATTAAATAACTGAAAGGAAAACATCAGAAATCACGAAATAAGAAGACCAGCTCATGATAGAGGTGTCTAACTTTCACTGGAAGCATTTTTTCGTTTAGGTCAGACCAACTTTGAAGAGCAATTCAAGGTGGCCGAGTACTGTCCTCGCATTCCGAGGTTATCTTATCATCAGCTTACTAAGCATAACTGACCCTGGTTACAACCGGTGTATGGGACCAATACAAATCGGTCTAGTCTCGGGGCCTGGCCAACTTCCTGGTTTGACCGATTTTGACCTATTGAAATAAAATATTCGTGGAGGTCTCAAACCCTCCCTTAAATTTCTGATAATTGGTACACAGGTACTTCAGATGCTTGCCTATTGAGTAGTACTGTTAGTTTTTTTAACACCCCCAAACCAAGCACACAAATTTTAGGAGACTGTAGAGTGACCGAGATGCCGGTCATCTACAGTAGTTTTATCCGCTTGCCTGAACAACAAGGCTATGTACCTTAGTTTTCTCACGAAAAAACAATGACAATCCACGGCAAGAATACGTCAGAACCAAAGCCAGTTTGTAGTCAAGTACAGCCAAGTTGCCTTCATAGTAATTCATACCGCGCCCGGAAGTCGGGTACGAACGAGATCATTCTTCTATCAGTTATCAGCCTAGAACCCGACTTTCCAGCGCGAGTGTCAATGCTGCCGGACTAGCCTCCCAAGTTGGTCGGCGTGCATAGGTAATAAATCCACCGCAGACGAGTGTTGAAGATGGTCGAAGACACCCCTATCGGTATGCCCATTAACCGACTTTCAAAAGGTCACGACAAATGCCGAAAAGCTGACAAAATCGAACGGTAAACCTCTATGGTGAACGCGGGTGGAAGATCTGCTCGGACGAGTCTAGACGAGTGAAACAGTTGACGCTCATGTGCCTCGAGACCAGGTGCCTCTACGCCCACTTCAAATTCGGGGAAGGAACCAGTGGTTGCCAGTGGAACGGGTCGCCCGGAAGGTGTGGTGGTGACGATGATGGGCGTCACCCAGCAAAGTCGCATCAACAAAAAGGCTGTTGTACCGCACGTCTATTGTGCGCATTAGGTGGCCAGAGGTGAGGCTGCTGGTGGAGGCGGTGTCTGAACGCGATACGACTCGGATATGACGGGCGTAGGTACTAGACAATAGTATTATTTAGCGGCTAGTGGTCGTTGAGGTTGAATAACGTTGGATAATAAAGTTAGACTTCCATATGTGGTCTTCTGAACCTTGAGGCACTGAGAGAAATGGGAGAAGATGAGATAAGGACCACACCCGATCAAGGAGAACGGAACCCTCGAGACGGATCAATGGGATATATTGAATACCGACCCCGGTCCGGCGACCATCAGCATCATCTATGCAGGTTTCCTCAGGCTTCCTCATCCGGGCTGCCTTGCTCACGCACAGTTCGCCTATAGGGAAGGGGGGAAAAGGGTATAGCATAGCATATAGAGTACGGGTTGTGGTAGTGGAACTACGTACTTGATCAAAAACTCAATGGCTTCTCCCTCCGGAACTAACCTCGAATGCAACGGTTGCGCAATCTCTCAGCCAGGCGAGGCCATCATGGCCTGATGACAGCGAACTAGCTCCTGGAAGACGTCTCGAGGAGGCGTTCTCTTCTTTATTCACAGCTGCACAGTGGTTGCTAGTGAGTCTGTCGCTGAATAAATATGCCGGCATTCAAGATATGGCTGGGCTCTCGGGGCGAAGGGATAAGGGCGATAGGTGGAAGCTAGAGGATCCCGGAGGTGAGTAGATCGTGGTCACCGATCAATGGCACGTGTCATAGCGAAGGGTGTTGGCGTGGAGACGTTCATTGTACTAGGGGTGCTGCTGGCGGATGGCTTGACCGATATCCAGTGCCGGAAGACCATGTACACCAGACAGGCAGCGATGGCAGCGAAAGTTCCGATAGATTTGGCTCCTATCACAGAGCTTTCTTGTTCAACCTGAAGCCCGCTGAGGCTCATAGCGGAAGAAAGTCAACTTAAGGGAGACATACCACCGAGGTGAACGGGGAGAGTATAGGTATCGTGAAATGGGAAGCACCGATAGCCGACCACCAGCTGGTCTGCGACTTGTGGGCTAGGATCATCGAATGGCGCGTATAATGGGTCGCCAGGTATATCACGAGAACGACGAGAAGGGCGATCAGCACAAGGAGGAAGAACTATCAAGGTGTCCCGTGAATGCTTGTGAATACCAACTCCAGAGATAGACTCACGAGAAGTCTTTCCAGAGAAGCGTGCTTCTCCTTGTATTCCTTTGCAAGAAGGCTCAGTTCGCGCTGGGGAGTCGTGGACGATGTTCAACACAACAGCCGAAAGCCAACCACAAGCCCACGAACCCACCTCCCTCTTTGCGTCGTGTGTATGCCCGAGAACCCTGACTTCCTTCTGGTGTGTCTCCTGAGCAGCCAGGAGTGCCTCAGCCTTCAATGCACGCGTGGCCCAGTACTGTTCCACTGCTGTCATGGGTTGGATGGGTGTCGTTGTGCTTGCAGCAGCAGGGCTCGAGTTCACACTAGGTGCATAGAAGCGCTGTGATGTCGTCATTCCTCTGGAAGCCAAGCTGAACGTGAGAGATGTAGTAGTCGAGCCATTCGATAATGATGGTGGTTTCCTTAGTTTGTTGGTCGACATATGTCGCAGAAGCAAGGTTCAACTTGCAGGCAATCAATCTTCCACTGAATGACCTTCTGAATCTGCATTATAAAGCTCAATATACTGCTGAGTAGTCCTTCTTAGCTCAGTTGGTAGAGCGCGTCACTAGTAATGACGAGGTCAGTCGTTCAAGTCGGCTAGAAGGAATTTAATTTTTGCGTTGTCTTCAGCATCAGAGAGACCTGGACTTCAAACTCAAGGGGTGCCGGTGCGCCCCCGAAGTACGTACCAGGAATCTTTTTAAAGAACTAACAGCGTCTGACTTCAATTTTTTACAGCCACTCGATACGTCTCTATAGTATTAAGGCACATCCCTCAACGTACATAGTACATATGTTTGTACTCTGCTGAGTCTGCTGCTTTCCCGTTTCCCAGAGTTAAACTCTTGAGGAAAATGTAATTTTTAAAGAAAAATTATTGTCTGACCCTACGCTACCCTGTAAGTAATTCATCGTTTTCACCACAACCTGTAGGAACCCCCCCCTTTATAGACTGGGCTCTTTAATGGGAAGGTCTTATGGCCCTTCGAGAACCTGTCTTTTGGATCCAGGAGCGCGGCCCTCAGCTGACCGACACGAAGGCTTGAGAGATTGAACCCCATGTCATCGGAGGGCCAACGCTCCTTTTGCCGCTCCACAAGTTTTCCAAGCTTCTTCGTGAGGTGGCTGATAATACATCATTCGCGATATGTAAGAGGTGAGCTGGCAAACACTCACCTTAATTCCTCTTCCGTGTAAGGCTCTTCGAGTTTCACAGTGGACATGTCGAGCTGGTGGTGGTACGGAGGTCTTGACAAAGGGGATTTAGGCGTCGTCCAGCGTACAGTCGCCGCAAATCGAATCTCTCAAGCAACACAAAGGAAAAGGTGATACAGAGACTACATCAAAGTACAAAGTGAGATCCATGATTGCCGTAATAGTGCCTAGTTATCAGAAGAGCGAAGGGGCTTCACAATTGGCTTCCTGTAGTAATTGGAGGCCAACCTCACATAGCGACTACCTTCCGAGCCGTCTCCCTGGAGGGCTTCATCAGTATCAAAAGGAACGTGGAATTGATCAAGTTCACTTACAATCATAACGTTGGGGAAGCCAGGGTTGAATTCAACGACACTCTCAAGATATTTGATTTGTTCATCAGTGAGATCGATATCGAGAGCCTCAACATTAGCGAGGAGATGCTCGATCTTGCGTCCGCCGAGGATGGGGAAGACATACGTCGTTTTCTGCATGAGGTAGGCGATGGCGACTAACGGGTAACGTGAGAGGGGTTACAAAATAATCAGAGACGGCAAAGAAACTGACCAGATGTAATGTGCTTCGCTCCGACCTCCGCAGCGACCTTCTCCAGAGCAGCGCACACCTTCTTCTCCTTGTCGTTCCTCTCCCAACTAGGGTCAAGAAGTGTTCTTCCCTTTTCGCCAGTTTGGCGGCGTTTTTCTTCCTCTGCGTCGGTCCTGATCTTTCCTGCCGCGAGGACGTTCCAAGGTGCCAAAGCCATTCCTGAATAGATGCATTATGCGGTCCGATTTAAATGACGCTCACACAGTCGGCTTACCTTCAGACCTAGCCATGGGGATAATGTCGCGTTCGAATGATCGCTCCATGACGTTCCACGCGCCTTGATAGACAACGAAGGGGGTCAGGCCATGGTCGCGAGCATACTGGTTCGCTTTCGCGACAACCCATGCAGGCGTATCTGAGATGCCCTATCAGATGGTAGGATGGTAAGTATTTAAGACGTAAGCAAGATAGAAGGAACTGCTTACAAGATACAAGACCTTGCGCTGCAAGACCAAAGAGTGCAGAGACCTCATGACCTCTTCGATACTGGCGTCGTGATCCCACCAATGCAAGTAAAGAAGGTCGATGTAGGTCGTTCGAAGCTTCTTGAGGGAGGCTTCGACGGAGAGGTGCAAAGCCTTGTTACCATTGCCAACATAATTAATTGTCTGCTGAATAGAAGGGTTGCGAATTTTGTAGTTGGTGGTGTACTGAAAGGAAATGAGACATCGTTCACCACGCTTGTCCGACGCAGGACCCACCTTGGTCGCGATAAAGAGTTGATCACGAATTCTTCTCGTCTCGGCCCATTCGCCGATAAATTGCTCGGAAGTCTCATCTTGACTAGATGAACATCTCATAAATGAAAAGATAGGAGCATTCACGGACGAACTCACTAGTTGTTGGCAGTATCAATGAAGTTTCCACCGTTCTCAAAGTACGCGTCGAGGAGCTTGAAGCTGGATTCTTTATCCATGCTTCCCATTCCGAAATCGTGCCATTTGTCGCCGATGCTCATCGCACCGAGCTGGAGAGGAGAAACATGGACGGCCGCATTAGGAGACAAGAGGCGGTAGTGACCGAGCTTGGTCTTTGGTTCAGCAGGCAGAGGCCAGAAAGACATTTCGTTGTACTGTGTGGTGATTTGAAGCTGGGAGGAGAGAGCTAATGTTCGTCATTGCGATGGTGGCCTGTTAAATAGGCCCAAAGTAGTCTGAGATCGAGTGCTGACTCGTCCGAGCATTACGTGCTCGAGGGTGCTGGTACCGAGGCGTACGTCAGACTCTTCCGAGCTATTCAATGAGACGAGGGATGTGCGACCCCAGACGGAGGGAGCGATGTGCCCGCACTCGCGGCCCGCTTGCGTAAGAATATCTGACAATGCAGTCTCATTTCCGGGCGTACCAAGCCTCGGGACAACCCAGATACATGAGTCCACACAGATGTTGTTCTGAAGCCGAATGTGAGTCGCCCACAACGCAAAACACAGTACTCCACTCATCGCAGTATCTCAACAGATGCGAACAAACATCACCCTCCCACCTCCGGCCGAGGACCAGGCGTTCTGCAACGTCTCCGCCCTGGAGGGCGGCCATGTAGTCCTTCCAAGCAGCTTCATCCTAGCAAACGCACACCCCGACAGCAAAGAAGCCATGCCATCCCTGTGCTTCCTCCTCATCCACTCCTCCTCTTCCAAGAGGTTCGTCTTCGACCTCGGCATTCGGCCAGATATCGAGGCCTACCCGCCCGCCGTGCGCGAGTACTTGACGAGTGGGCTGGTCACCGCGTCCGTCCCGCAGGACGTCGTTGGATCACTGGCCAAGGGCGGTCTGGCGCCGGACGACATCGACACCGTGTGCATCTCGCATTGCCACGGGGACCATATCGGGAACACGCACGCGTTCGCGCGAAGCACGTTCGTCGTGGGCGGCGCGTGTCAAGCGCTGTTTGTTGAGGGCAAGACGTACCCCGAGGACCCTGCGAGCTCGTACGCTCGCGACCTCCTCCCCACAGATCGGACGCGGTACCTCACGGTGGAGGAGTGGACCCCTATCGGACCCTTCCCCCGCGCGTTCGATTTTTACGGCGACGGGAGCCTGTATCTCGTCGATAGCCCCGGGCACCTCCAGGGGCACCTCAACGTCCTCGCACGCACGTCGGCCGACGGCGCGTGGGTGTACCTCGCAGGTGACAGTGCCCACAGTTGGAAGATAATCACCGGGGAGTCCGAAATAAAAGTAGGCGCACCATGGGATCCACACTTTTGCATACACGTCGACAAGGAGAAAGCAGAGGGACACATCGCAAATATCCGGGTGTTGTGGAAGATGCCTCGAGTGCGGGTCATTTTAGCGCACGACACCCCCTGGTACCAGGAGAACAGAGGCGGGCCCGCGTTTTGGCCGGGCCATATTGCAGCTTTATGATGCATGTTGGGAGGATCTAATCCTGCGAGCTGGCTCAGAAGTCTGTTACGAGTCATTTCTTTACTAGGGTACGAACTTGCCATCAAAATGTGGCGAGACGCCGTGATTCATTTTCGTTTACGCGTACTGATAAGATTACGATTAGATAAGCTATCTACGGTAGTATATAAGTTCGACTTAGCCTACGTAGATACCTTGACTTTGAATCGACCGTTTACACCTGTCTTTTTGAGGTCACCGTGTGTCTGGACTGGTGATTCGTCACCCTCCCGCCACATATTTTTGACAGCACAAACTCGTTTCTAAACTACTGCTTTACTCTCTTTCGTCTCCGTCAACCTCCCTTCGGATTCCCCTCGGCTTGATCACCCGAGTCTTCCAAGATGGCACCCGCGGCGACGAAGAACACCACGACTACCACAAAACCGACGGCGACTCGCTCCTCGACGAGGATTAGCAGGCAGACACCTGCATCTACACGAGGTGAGTCGCAAGCTCCACCGCCCGTCACTGATGAGTCTGGCGATGGAGAGGATAGGGCACGCTCTCCGCGATCGAGGGTCGGGAGAGACTCGGAGGACGAAGAGGAATCCGAGCGGGGCGATGATTCGACCCCGGTGCAGAGCCAACGCCGCCCTGCAGCTGTCCCTAAGGTTGGGAATGGGAGCAACGGTGCTGGCCCAATCGGACCCGAGACTACCTCTCGGTCCGCAGCTGCGAGGCAGGTACGCTCACGGAGTGTTGACTCCAATCGAAGACCAGTGCGTGACGACGCACTGGACGAGGCTTGGGCCGCGGTGGCTCAAACTCGAAGCAACCTCGAGGCGCTCGAGCGTCGTCTCTTTCAGAGGTATGGGCCGCTCGTCGATGAGCCGGATCCCAGCGAAGACGAACAGGAATACCCCCCACCAAAGGCTGGTCCGTCGGGGCGGGGAAAGGCTGTGGACCCAAGAAATTGGGGAGCAGCTGGAATTCCTGAGGATGAAAGTAATCCCGAGGTGCAGCATGCGCTCCTCGCAGGGATTAGAGAATCGGCGGCCGATGATGGCGACCGAAACATGCGGTACACCCCAGTAGATAATAGGGATAACCGTGGATTAGCTAAAAACAATGATAATAGCTTGGAAAGGGACTCAACAGGTGCACCGAACGAGACCCGTAAAACGACCGATGAGACTCCGCAAATCACGCGAGAGGAAGTCCGCGCGATGCAGGAGAAAGCCAAGGCGCTTGAGAAGGAATACCGCCGTCAGAAAAAGGCAGCCAAGGCTACAGAAGAACACGCGCCACGCCGTACAGCCACCCCACTCTCGAACGAGATGGAAGCATTGATCGGACAGGCCACGCGGCGCCCCACCGCAACTGCTGGAGGGCGTAAAGCGACGTCTGGAGGGCGAGACGAAATGAGGCCGGATGGAGGGCGAGAGTCGCAGCGGGAGCCTCTTCCTGTGGGGCAAACGCCGTCTCGAGTACGAAACTCCAGGCCCGAAGTCCTACGCGCTAGCAATCAGGTTGCACCCGACAGTTATCTGAGCTGGGCGCTTAATGGGAATAAGAAACGTCCACCTGAGCTGCCTACCACAGGCGCAGCAGATGGGCAGGATGAGGAGGAAGACTCTTCATCTGATGACGACGAGGACCCTTCAGACTCGGATCCGTCTGACTCGGAAGATGAGGAGGATCACCACAAAAAGAAAAAGAAGCGCACCGTGTATAAGCAAATCGCACCGACGACACCCGAAAAGTACAGCGGTGAGGCTGACCCAATGAAATTCTACCGCTTTGCAACCCAATGCGCGAGATTCTGCAGGGAGGCCAATATCCCAAAGTATGATCGGATATCCAAATGTGCGGATTACTTGACCAGTAAAGCGTACAAGTTCTACACGACAGAAGTTTCAATGGATACCAAAGGGTGGAGCATGAAGAAATTTCTGAAAGGTCTCTTCAATTATTGCTTCCCGCCTGACTTCCATTTGAAGCAAAGCCGTAAGCTAGAAAAGATGACGCAGGGAAACCTACGAGTCAGAGAATACGCGGCTGAGCTATTGATAGTATTCCGTACCCTCGGGTCATCCTCAACGCGTCAACGTGTTGACAAGTTGTGGAATGGTTTAAGGGTTGAATTACAGCGAGCGTTGTGGAGGGAGAACTTGGACCCCCAAACCTCGTCATGGAAAGAAGTCGTGCGTGTTGCTGAGCGGCACGAGATTGCCGATCGCCTTGTTTTAGGAGATCGCGATACGGGCGCTAGTTCGAGCAAGCACACAAATCAGAACACGAAGAGTTGTTACAATAATAACAGTAGCGCACCTTCAAGCTTGTCGAAACCCTTTAAGCCACATGACAATGAAAAGTCTAGGTCAGATAAGGGAAAAGAGCCCGAAAAGAAGAAGGAAAGCACACCTGAGCTAACCGAGGACGAGAAGGCACTTCTTCGCAAGCAAGGTAAATGCTTCCATTGCTGCGAGAAGGGTCATGTCTCACGCCAGTGCCCGAAAGCACAGACAGTATCCTCGAACAAAGGCAGTAAGCCCCCTGGTTTGAAGAGCTTCAGTGTGGAGCTTGCTGTTCAAAAGGAGAAACAGTACCGAAACCTGGAAGGTACCACTGAGCCAGCGAAATCGGTTGGAGTGTCATCTGTACTGTTGGCGAATGTCTCATTTGACACTGGGAGTGACACAGAAAGGAGTGAAGTCTTCCAAGACTTCGCTAATTTCATGTCCGGCACAGTAGATGAGAATGATTCCTGGACGTGCGAGTCAGATGTGGATGACCTGCCTGAGGAATACGTCGAAGTAGGTCCTACCTTATCGTATGAGGATGCAGCGAGGCTGTTGTATGATCCGGAGAGTGAAGATACACCTAAAAACGTGGATGGGAAGATCGGCGATCCGTTGTGCGAACAAGTTGAGCGCTTATTGGATGCGATGCAACCCTTTCCAGGGGATCCTTGCTGGGAAAGCAAGGTAAACCACCGTTTTAATGTGTATCCTAGCTACCCGGGTCGTATAATCATACAGGACGAGGTGACCAATGAGACGGAAGTGCTTGAGGCTTCGATGGCCTTGCGAGATGATTTCCTGATTGGCCGGTGGTATGCGATTAAGTGCACGCAAAGGGAACGAGTTAGGGTTAAGCCCTTACCTCGATGGCACAAGAAATCACCGCGAAAGCGCGATTTGTGGGCACTTAATGGTGCATGGAAGCTTGCGTTTGGCAAGTGCTTCTTCAATTATTATCACTGCTCAAAAGAAAAAAGAAACAATATGTATTGTTTCGAGATCGTGTGGGATCGCCATGCGAACACCTACAGAATATACGACATCATAGCGCGATTAGTTACTAGTATAACTCCTGAGGAGTTAACGAACCATCGCCTAGACATTAGACAATGGTATTTGAGGCAATTAACAAAGCACTTATGGGACATGTCCCTAGAGCACTTCGAGCAGCTCGACAGCTGGGACCTTGACACCCTGTTTGACAAGACACCACCTGATATCTTCTCAGATGCAGGAGGGAGCGATGACGATGATGATGACAGCGACGATGATGAGTGGATGAATTCATTTCTTGAAGCTTATATGATTGAGCTAGACGAGGAATTTGATATTCATTGCGCCGCATCGAAAGCAAAAGGGGATGACACGTACCCTTCAGCACATAGGATGGCAGCCTTCGCTAAAGATTTCTCGAGGGTAGTACCGGAACCCATCCGAATAGCCGTTGAGATCGATGGGCGCTTAGCTCAGGCGCTCGTCAATTTGGGTTCGCTATGCGACTTTATGTCTAGCACGCTAGCGGATCAGCTGAAGTTAAAGAAAAGAGAGCTAGCATCACCTTTGAACGTACAGTTGGCTGTTCAGGGATCGCGCTCTAAAGTTAACTATCAGATATCAACCCAGTTTAAGTATCAGAATATCAACGAGGAACGAACCTTTGATATTTTGAATGTCTCAGTTATGATTTGATACTCGGAACGCCGTGGTTATATCAACATAGTGTCATGATAGGATTTAACCCCACTCGATGCATCATTGGAAGTGACATATCATTGCCTATTGAAGGGATAAGTGTCAGAAAGGTCGTGTCGAGGAGCACGCTGCTGCGCGAGGAGAATCTTGAAGAGGTGCGTGAGTACCTTCGAGAGTATGCGGCTCCATTATGTAAAACGGCTGTGGAGACACCTCTACCACCTCTACAAGCTATCAATCATCAGATTCATCTTATAGATGAAGATATGGTTTACCCGTGGTGTCTGTCACAATGCCCAGAGGCATTCATAGAGAAATGGACAGCTAAAAGGAATGCATACGTTAAATCAGGTCGGTGGGAGATTACACATGCTCGAAACACTGTACCTATGATGTTCATTCCGAAGCCTGTGAAGCCAGGACAAGAGCCAGATGTTCGAAATCCATTGGATTTAAGGCCACGGAATAAGAATACAAAGAAACTTTCGAGTCCACTCCCAGAGATTGAAGGGATAACTCGTCGGGTGGCGGCGAAGACGTACCGATCGATGCTGGACTTGAAAGACGCATATGAACAGATGTGCATAGATCCGAAAGATGTCTGGAAGACGGCATTCGCGACGCCACAGGGAAATATGGTTAGTAATGTCGTCCAAATAGGCGATTGTAACGCACCGGCGACATTTCAAGCATTGATGAACCATATTTTTTCGCCGTACATTGGAATCTTCATGGATGTCTATTTGGATGACATAATTATCTACTCGGACACCCTTGAAGAGCATATTGAGCATGTTAAACTTGTTCTTGATGTGTTGAAAAGGGAGAAATTTTACCTTTCAGCAAATAAGCTCAATTTCTTGTCCAAGCGAGTCAAGATTTTGGGTCGTATAGTTGACGAAGAGGGCATCCAGATGGACCCGCATAAAGTCGATGCATTGTCCCGATGGAAAACGCCGACAAACCGAGACCTTCTTCGAGGGTTCCTTGGGGCGGCGGGCTACCTTGCGGATGATATTGACCACGTGCGAATTCCGATGGGTGTTCTTCATAGTCTAACGAGTGACTCCGTCCCTTTTCAATGGGGCGAGATGCAGCAGAGGGCGTTCGACGAAATTAAAGAGCTGGCTGTGAAATGTAAAGATCATCACAGAAAGCCGTTGAAATATGGCAAAGACGCACCCCATATCAACGTCATGACAGATGGTTGCGCGACAGGGATTGCAGGGATTGTAAGCCAAGGAGAAGACTGGAAGAAAGCGGATGTAGCTGCTTTCTTTTCAGCGAAACTGTCTCCAGTGCAGCAGAACTATGCTGTACACAAAATTGAACTGTTAGCGGGTGTCGAGACGATGCTGAGGCATCGAGACATTTTGCAAGGCACTCACTTTCGTTGGTTTACAGACCACAAAGGCCTCATCCATCTTTTGAAGCAACGAAACTTGTCCGGACGGCAAGCTCGATGGATGGAAAAGATAAGCATTTTTGATTTTGAAGTCGTCTATGTTCCAGGTGTGGAGAACATATTGAGTGATGCGCTCTCACGTATATACTCTAACGACGCACCTGGGACTGTACGCGCTCTGAGCGAGTACACAGAACACAATGATTCCGGGATGCCAATGTCTGAACGAGCGCTCAAGGTCATCTCAGCTCCAGTTCTAGTTGGACTGGAGGGCGAGGTAGCAACATTTGCTGTGAATTATGTTCGTCGAAAGAACAAGAAAGCGACGAACTCACCGGCTGAGACAGGAAGGCCCGAGACAGCGGAAGAATTTGCTGCTCGAGTGGGCGACTCTTTTGTTCTCCACGGACCGTGTGAGAGAACAGAGGGCGAGGGTCAGAAGGACCAGGGAACATCCGCCAATCAGTCAGACCCAAACCAGAAGCTGGTTATCAGAATACCTGCCAGAAAGAAGAAGGACAACGTCTCTCAAAGTGACAGTGAGAGAGTGTCTAAAATTAGCGCCCTCGAGACCGAGCCAAGAGCGCCAAGCGACACTTCGGAGAACGCCGAAACAGACTTAGTCGAGGCACCACAAATGCTCGACAAGATTCCCCAGCTCGATATCACAAAGGATATGGCTGGAATTGATGTCCTGAATGAGATTAGACATAAGTATGGTCAAGATACTGTGTTTAAAACTGTTATAGAGAAACCTACCAAGCATAGAAACTTCATTCTTGAAGATGGCTTGGTTTTTCTCAAGGATGACAGCCGGAAGCGTCTGTGTATACCAGATCTCCGGGTACAGGGAAGAAGTGTACGTGAGATTGTAATCGCAGAAGGTCATTCTCTGCTCGCTCACCTAAGTACAAGCAAAACTTATGATTATCTTTGTGACTTCGTATGGTGGAAAACAATGTATAAAGACATTGAAACCTACTGTGACTCCTGTAGGACTTGTAAATGAAGTAAAACGAGTAATCAGAAGCCTTATGGGTTATTGAATCCACTATCCGTCCCGTCACAGCCCTGGGACACAATTGGAATTGATTTCGTGGGCCCGTTTCCTGAATCTAAAGATAGAGATGGCACTTATGATTCGGTGACTGTAATCATTGATTTACTCACAGGAATGGTGCATCTTGTCCCAAGTCGTACAGATTACACGGCTCAAAATATCGCCAAATTGATCTTCGCGGAGGTATACAAGTTACACGGACTCCCAAGGTCGATTGTGAGTGATCGAGACGTTTTGTTCACAAGTGCGTTCTGGGAGGAACTGCATAAATTAATTGGAACAAGACTTAGAATGTCAAGCGCTTACCATCCCGAGTCTGATGGATCGACCGAGCGTGCAAATAAAACAGTCAATCAGATGCTTAGGCATTGTATTGAGCCACTCCAGAAGGATTGGGCACAGAAGCTCCCCGCAATCGAGTTTGCCATTAATTCGGCTCGCTCAGAGAGTACGGGCTTCGCACCTTTCTTCTTGAACTCGGGTCGAATGCCTTGATCGTTCATTTGGGATTCAAACGAGCCTGAGAAGTACCCTGGCGTTAGGGTTTTCGCTCAGACGGCGGTTATGCATGCTCATGACAGCATTATTGCGGCACGAGTTAAACAAGTACACACCGCGAATCGAAAGAGGCAGCGAGCGCCATTTGCTCTCGGAGACTTGGCATATGTCTCTACTAAGAACATGGCTATTCCGGCAGGATTAGCTCGGAAACTATCACCGAAATTCATCAGACCATACCTGATTATGGAGGACTTCAAGAATAATTCTTTCCGATTGAAGTTGCTGCCGCGCTTGAAGCAGCGAGGACTTCATGATGTGTTTCATGCATCTTTGCTGAGAATCCACGTACCGAATGATGATCGTCTCTTTCCTGGACGACTGGACACGCAAACTTTTGATGATGAGAACTTAGAAACCGAATGGGCAGTGGAGCGTATCGTTTCACATGCAGGAACTGGAAAAAACTCCGTGTTTGAGGTCCTATGGAAATCAGGGGACAAGACATGGCTACCATATGACAAGCTGACTCACCTGGATGCTTTGGAGGCATATTTTGATGTCATGGGAGTTCAGAAGATTGAAGAATTATCAGAGGGCACCGGTAAACCACTGGCCGATGATCTGCAGATTTTCTTGGGGAGTCTTGGACTGATTTTTGAGGAAGAATATGAGGCTATAAATGTGGCCGAGCATGAGACGGTGTATGTACCTCAACACCTTTGGTCTCAAGCCTGCCGTAACCCATCGCTTCTGCGAAGCCTTGCTTTACTTTACCTCTCGATGTCCACTTCCACGTCCGCGGATGCCGGCGCTAATTTAGGCACTCCATCTTCGATTGAGCCTAATTCGGCCTATTCCACTCCCACATCCGTCAACACCACGGAACTTACAATCAGGAAGCACCCAGTCTCCTTCTACGGCCATCCTATTCCCCTCCCAGCTCCCATTTGGAACACGACCTTGATCTTCCGTGTCGGCAACCACATCTACGTCGCCGACAAGGACGGCCAGACGTTTTCGGTCACGGTCAGCATGGCACACGATTTCATGGCGTTCCACACTCTGGTAGCCCAGACCAACAGCAAGACACCATCCAAGGAGAAGCTCGAGAGGCTCAACAGCATTTGCGAGCCGTTAGGTTACCGACAATTTGCATGGTTGGTCAACGCAGATCTGCTCGTCAAGGACACGCTTGTCGAGGTCACTGAAAACTCCGCCATCAAATACCCCACTTACCGTGATGGGTATCGACCTCATTTCTTGCGCTTCGACAGAGAGAAGCAATCCGATATCGACAACACACTCGAGATTGCCGCGTTGTTCAACGGGTCCAAGGACAAGGCTCAGGAGGCAATAGACCTTGCCTTCAGGGTCGCGATGACGACTTTCGGAGGCAGTAAAGTTGCGAAGCCGGCGACGAAGGGCAAGGGCAAGCCGTACGAGAAGAAAAACCGCAAGAACATGAAGGACCGTGATGGAGACGTCAATATGGGTTGAGGTTCTTGGTTTGGGGATTTTTTTCTTGAATTTTCGCACTGAATTACTTTTGCATTTCGTTCGAGCCATTCTTCTTCAGAATAGCTGGAGGGCGTATGTGGCGAGACGCCGTGGTCTTCGTCACACAAGTCCAAAGGCTGATTCATTTTCGTTTACACGTACTGATAAGATTACGATTAGATAAGCTATCTACGGTAGTATATAAGTTCGACTTAGCCTACGTAGATACCTTGACTTTGAATCGACCGTTTACATCTGTCTTTTTGAGGTCACCGTGTGTCTGGACTGGTGATTCGTCACCCTCCCGCCACACAAAATGAGCCGTGGAAAAAATGACCTTTTTCATACGCCCGTGAAGAGTCGAGTTCTGTTGCTAATTGATTCACACACAAGAAAGTGGTCGACGTAGATTTGACTGCTAGGAAGTGTACTATAGCACAGTATATAATCTAGGTATTTGCAAGGGCCAAATGCCATAAAACTAGAGGGACACATGGAAGAGAGGCAGGTGATAACTTGCAGAGAAAACAAAGAAGAAGGGGCCAACGGTCTTCCGACCATGAGACAACATCGAGTTCATTGTTCCTTAGGAAAAAGATGCAAGAAATGAGATCCTGTATGGAGCGCCGTACTGGACAAAAATAAATGGATTGATTTTTTGACCTGAAATTCTTCATGAATCACAAGGATTCTGTCTGATTCTGTCTGATTCCGTAAGAATCTCCACTAATTAAGACGAATTCTCCTACTCACGAAACAAATCACGTCCGTGAAGGAAGATTCAATGAGATTCAGTCCGTTTCTGGCAGAATCCAGCAGAATCTTGCAGAGCAAATCTTTTCACTTCTCGCTGTGCAGTCAGATTCCTAGCAATTCTGAGTGAAAAAAAAGTAAAACACACTGTTTCTCAAAATCTGAATTTAAGTGCATGTGAGAGGATTCTGGTAAATTCTGTCAGAATTGTGGTGAACGCTTTGCTTTAATTTCGGGTATTATGACTGCTCTTTCCTTCTTCAGATAGGAATCTGCCAGAAGGGCACAACTATACTGTTCATGCGAGTCTACGTATGTTTCCTTTGTCATATTTGATTGAAACCATTGGCCCACCTTATCTCGTTCTCCACCTTAGGTCTGTCCGAGGGCCCGGCAGCCACTACGAACACGAGGAGCAGGTGTACCCGCCTGTTGTCCTGCTCTCTATTCCAACTGTAATCCCATCTCCTGTGGTTCCCCTGAGCAGACATTCAACTGGCGAATTGATGATCTGGCTGCCACTCTTTTCACCTTCTGATCATATTCATAGGCAGCGAAGACGCGAAGAGCTCAAAGTTCCCACGAATAGGCGCCGAATAAGCGCTGCAGTCAAGAGTGCCTAGTGTGACAACCAGACCGTGTATTGACTCAAAATAAAATTTGACATGGAGATTACATCCAAAAGGGCCTCAGAAACCAAGTGGTTTTGGAGGAATGAACCCAGGCAAAAGTAGGGGTTCAATCTTCCTCGAGTAACCCCTCAGTCAATGAGAGAGTCTGAGAGGCTCACTCACAAAGACTGACTTTGTCCTTTTTTCTTTTTTTTGGGGGAAGATGATATGGCTGGGAACTTTTCTATAATGATGGATGCCAGAATTTCAATTTGACGACAGCGCGATCACCCAAACATGACGGCAACACGTAAAGATCATGTACATGGGCATGGGCACACTTCGGGCTGAATCTGTCAGAATACAGCTCAAGAAAAGGAAAAACAATGCTATCCACCAAAGAAAGTGCAAGCCTTGTAGGCAGAATCTGCCAGAATCTATGAGAATCTATGAGAATGATAAATGCATTGCATTGCAAGACGGGGGTACGAATCTATAAGAAACGTAATGATTATGCCCGCATCCGCACTCTGCGCGATTCTTTACGAAGCCGAGCAAAAAAAGTACCTCTCGTTTCTGACAGATTCTCACAGAATCAGCCACAATCAGCCGGAAACGTGAGGATTCTTACCCATTCTGGCAGATTCTCACAGATCTTGCCCGAAGTACTCTAGCCGAGCTCAAAAAAAATCAATCCATGATTTTTGTCCAGAACGGACCGTCATAATCCTGCGACAAGTGTTAGAATATTGGGAGGCTGTGCGAGCGTGCGCAATGCACCCAACGTAGGTACATTTCTCTTATCATTTTGGTTCTACATTCTCTGGAGCTGTGGGCTCCATTTTACATTTATCTCCTTTTATTTTGTAGACTACACTATAGTATATAAGTAGGATACTATGTACCGTAGCTACTATCCGTTTGCCTCACGAGCTCACCGAGGTCAAACGGAAATCTCATCTTATCTCGATTTGGATTCCCGAGCTTATTTCAACAACAAGCGCTAGCCAATATTCGACTTGAGCTTGAAGACGAGTCCGTGCATACCTCCCTTGAGGCAACTCGATGTCTCAGTGTGGGAGTGCACGAGCGGTTCTTCAAGTTATCAAAGGTATCAGACTGCTGGTATCTTGTTCAATGTAAGTATATTCGAAGTTCGGCCCTCTGGAGTTCGCGATTGACTTGGACGGCCTCGTTATTAAATGTAACAAATTCTTTGAAAGCGATGCTTTCTACCAGGTTCTAACCGAGCTTAAGGAGGACAACAAGGAGACCACAGCCCGAGAGGAGCACCTCCAGGAAATCTATTACTCTAAGTATCGTCGAAATACTACAGCCAAAATGCATAGAACCCAAAATTTCCAAGACCGAAAGAAAAAATAGGAACGCCAGTTGGTAACCATTTCTTACCAGTGCTTCAGTCCACACGCCTCTGAGCGCTGGGGACTAGGGCCCAAACGACCAACATACAGCTCATCATCGATACCATCCTGTAATATGGGCGATCAAAAATCAAAAAAGATGCGGATCACCGTTGGTTAGAACACTTACAATGGCTGCAATGAGCCTATACCGTACTTCGACGCCAACAGGCCGGTGATGAAAGAAAGTGCAGCTGAGCCAGTGATACCGATTCCTGTGACGAGTCCGACGCAGCCAGTGAGGAGCCATCGTGGAAGGAGATGAGACATGTGCTGCACGAGGAGGGGGAAAGTTGGCCCCAAGACGAGGCCGATCAAAGAAATCTGAACGAAGTTCAACGGTGCTGATGTGTAGGTGGGGAACAGGAGCGCCTACCGCAACAGCGTTCCCAATGATGGACGGAACGAACCAGACGGTCAGCTCGAGGCTGCGTATATAATGTCGTTATAAGGTTGTCTGCAGTTGAACATAATAAGGGACTCACCCAATCGCGATGGTGGCATAGAGGAAAATGACACGATGTTCGCCCACCAATTTGTTGAGCCAGATTAAGCCAACGCGGCCAAGTGTCAAGCCTACAGGGTGGGTCAACATTGATGCAGTGCCTTTCCAATCAATGTACGCACCACCGAAGAAACCTGAGGAAATATATCCAGCACTTGCCCCTCCATTACGCTCGCGGATGATGAAGGTGACGATCCAACCTGGACTGAATATTAGCAGGTAGTCATTCACACAAATGTCCTTGGCGTTGTCATCACTTACCCCCAAGCGTGCCTTCAACACCAACGTAGATCAAGGCGAACATGGCGCAAAGCGGGAAGCCTCTGGCACGAACGATTTCTCTGTATTTGCTCCCTGATGGACCTTGCTGCATAGCTGACTCCGAATTAGTATTCTCTTGACCAGCTTCTAGAAGAATTTCTATAAAGGATCGTTAGCTACTCGGCGGATTATTGAGAGCACAATGGACCGACCTTCTTGACGGCGGAAACGGAATACATAACTCAGAATAGCGATGTTGAGGAGAGTAAAGCTGAGCAATATCGTAAAGTGGAATGCCCATCTCCGACTTGCAAACGTCGCGAAGTAAGTAGCCGCGAAGGGTGACGTGAATGCGCCGAGACCTGTGCGGAAGTGAGCCTATTGAGAGACGTCTTACAGCCATCCTGTTGAGAGGGTGACGAACCGTAGGAACCGTGCATCATGCACAACTTTGTTGACATGTTTTCCTGTACGCTACCGACCAGACCGTTTGCTTGAGCAGTCTTTTGAGAGACATCAGTAGTGCCCTAATTTTGAGAAGTACGATTGCTGTACCTGCAAGGAGAGTCCAAACCCAACGATGACATAGGCACATACAATCACGGGGAAAGGAGGAGCGGTGATGATGATGATGTAGGCGCAAGATTGGCATGCTGCACCAAGGGTGATAATCTAGAGTATATTTCAATGCCTGGCGGAAATCCTAGGCCTGAGGTGTCAAAACGTACCTTCCCAAAACCTATGCGATCATTGAACCAGACATTCAAAGCAGCTCCGCATAAATACCCCTATAAATGAGAACCAATAACTCATCCATACAATCCAGACCAGGAAAGTGCGCCGTCAACTGACCGAACAATTTCCAACGAAGATCAAGGATGCCAGTGAGTATCCGATCTAAAATTGAGAATCAGAGGCGAGAAACGTAGCTCAAGGAGGTATATGTATACGTTATATTGTTCTCGAATTCGCGGCAACAGGGCACCCGTGGAACCATCGTTCCACCCCACGATATAGAGGCACCAGCAAACAGTCAAGAAATGGATGGCGCCGCTTCGTTTCTGCTGAGGCGTAAGCAGCCTAGCGCTGGAACTGGAGGATATGGGCTCGCTTAGAGTAGGTTCGGCGATGGAGCTTTCCTCTCCAGGCGTCTGCGGAAGGGTAATAGGAGCGTTGAGCACCTCTCGACGGAATACATCCCTCGTCATAGAAATATCCGAGTCTTTGCGGATAAGAGCGGACGGATGTCTACTCCTCTCGGAGAGGTAGGTAGGAAGGGCATGGAGATCGTATCTCGAGTCGACCTTGGACGTTCCAGTCGCCATAGGTTCCGGATATTCAGACTCGAGAACTGGCAGGACACTGAGATCATATTCCTCAGACTTCGAGTCACGTTGAGCAGAGAAAGAAGTCCGCGAGCCTAAAGCGCCTGGCGCAGGGAGAGCGACGGAGGGCGTTGACATCGCTCAAGAAGCGCTGGAAGGAGGAGAGGAGCAACTAGGATGTACCTCCTCGATTTATAGGACAAGTTCCTGCGCCGAGTCGCATCCCCGGAAACGAAACTAGCGAGATGAAGATAAACAGGTGATATGGTAGGGCATGGGGCATTCTTCTTTTGCAATTCCGTTGAGGTTGGGACATGGTTGGGAGGAAACAAAGTTCACCCTGAACTTACCAGCAACACTACCCTGAAGTTCGCTGAGGTACTACATTTGACGGAGGAGAAAGATTACCCGAGGTTGTCCCGGCGCTTTCTTCGTCTTGGCGGCGCCTTGTGACAAGACTCGAGGCGCCGATAAGAGAAAAAATGGGGCGTAAGATCCATGAAAGAAGCGGAGGTCCGATCGTTTAGTCAGAGCACTCAGGTCCTGGGGTCGAAAATAATCGACAGGTCAATTTTGGTCAGAGTAGATTGCCGGACTGACTCAACGAGTTGTCAACGAAGGACATCTAGGGCTTCGCGGCTTATCCTACCCTGCTATGATCCATCCGTGAATAAGTAGTATATCGAAACATTCTCTCCAGCATTTGCGAGCAGATTAAGGTTTAACTGAATTGAGTCACATCGAAAGATTAGCCAAAAATATCTGCGAAAGTGAGCAGGCATGTATTGTAGGACTCGCGATAGACATACATACATTCAAAAACTCTAAAGTGGTGTGTATCTCGGTGGTACTTCTATCCGAGGACGAGGATCGGGCCGGTTACCGTCCCGCCTAGAACTTCGCGAGGGAGTGGATGGGCGCTGTGATGAGCTTGCTTCTGACGGCTCAGGCGGCTTTCGTGATGAAGTAGAAGTATCCGAGACGAATAACGGAGGATGGAGGCCACCAGTGTAGTGAACACCACCACATTGACATTTGGGATCTTGGGTGCAAGATGAAGGGGAAGCAGAACTTGTTGAGAGTGTCGGTTGAGGAGCAGGGAAGAGAAATGGTTGGACTGTTTGCGATATTTCTTGTTCGTTGCGCTGTTCTCCTCTTCGTTTCCGTCGGCGATAGATGTATAGGAGCACTAACAAGACGACAACCGCAAAGCCGCCGACCACACCTCCCACAATAGCGCCGACGTTGGAAGGCGCGCCATTACTGACAGGGAACGTGCTAGAGACCGTAGGCGATGGAGAAGACGACGCCGTTGTCGTGCCATTTTGTATAATCAGGTAGTCGAGAGTGAGTGGTGTAGTCGTTGAGTTTCCGTGGAACAGAACGCGGAGGTTGTGCTGCCCGTTTGGGTACGTGTCGGTTTGGAAGAAGAGTTGGTTGTACACGCTCTGAGAATCAGCCGGGATGGCTCGTATCATGAAATTATGGGGCTCTTCACCGTCAACGGAAAATGAGGCGGGTGCTGCGACATGGGGTAACTCGGTTGGAATGAAGCCATACCAACCCAAGGATTCGCCTGAAGAAAATTGAGCCAAATATCTGGTAAAGAAACTCAATGCACACCATAGAAATCGAAGCTGAACAACGCATTGTCCTGCCTAGTCATATTCGCGAAATCGCCAATATTTGACCACCTGGAGTCGAAGGACCTGAGGACTTGAGGATCGAGCGAGTCAATTCCGATGGCTTTGTTTTCCAGGGATACGCCTGGAGATGGAACATATTCGATCGTGTCGAACCAAAAGGTTTGATTAATTCGGATCGTTGCGTTGAGGGTAAGCACATGGGGGCCGTCGAGCAATGAAAGCTGCTCGCAAAATAGCCAGCGATTTGCTGATACGGGGCTAGGAGGAGTGGAGCCGATGCTGATGTTGTCAATGAAGCACTCCCATGTCGGGTCGATGATTCCCGAGTCATTAAGCATTCGGTTGGTTCCAAGGACCTGCACTTGCGAGCCTAGAAAGAATGAAAGTAAATGAGGTAGGTCCCGGAACTGAAGTGAGAACGCACCACTGAAGGGCAATGAGAGGCTAGCGTTCGACTTGGTCCCATGTAGTGTGCTCTTGTACGCAAATCCAGCAAAGCCTATAGTGTTCTGGCTCCCTTGGTCCTGAAACCACGGACCTGAGTACGAGATATCCGGGCTGGTATCGTCAACAACCACACGTCGGGAAAGCGCCTGGGCCATGGGCTATGGGCGGGGTAAGGAGCGCTGGAAAAGAGGAAAGAGTTGGAACTCCAGAAGAATCAGCGTGGAGAGGACGAACCCTGCCCCTGAGTGATGATGGTCGTTCTAGCGTAAATAGATGGATTATCTTGCGGGTGATGGCTCTGCAAATCTCAGTCGAAACTTGTAGACTTGATGAGCTCGATGATGATGGGCGGTCGAAGGATGACAGTTGGGGAAAAGCGAATCCGGTTGCTGTGCTTTACGGCACAAAAGGCAAGGAAGCGTCTGCGTTGTCATGACCTTAATTTTTTCAGATGTAAGGAATCATCGAATGGGTGAAACAGACCCAGGTAGCCTGCAGATAAATGAAGGGCTCATAAACGTAGGCGAAACGGTGTCGCTCACCAGATATCACAAAAAGTACTGTCAGTTTTTGCCGTACACCTCGACATCATCGCCTTCAGAGGTGCGGGTTGATTCGTTTCATTGTCCGAGGTTGTCGAAGTGTAAAAGCTTGAGATATCGAGCAACTATGAAATGCAAATGGCCATTCCAAACTGACAGAAAACCCCTCGTCGAAAATGCGCGTTGAACTTGCAAAGTTGAACAAGAAGAGGCTTCCGTGCTGCAGAGCCACGGGCCGCTGATGAGTTATGTAATCGATCGGCTCTATTTGCCAAGACCCTTAATTGTGCCGATGGAATGAAACCGCGACCTTTGTCTTCGAGGTCGCCCACAATTCACCTCAGGCTTTTCTCTGCCCTTACCATCCTCCTTGACTCCTCCCATGCAAAACCAACCCAAATTTACGCGCTATAATCCTTTTTATAACCCCAAACGCCAGGTGGTTGGCCCAGCACATGTACCTCCAGCATGGAAGACAAACGGTGTGGCGGCTGGATCTTCAAAAGGAAAGGAACCAGTGGAGAGAGGGAGTAGGATATTCATCAGCAAGTTACCCGTTGATGTTGGGGAGAAGGAAGTGGAGGTAAGCGCTCATACACGCGTTACACGCGATCCTCTCAAGAACATGTTTCAGGAGCTTTTCAGAAAGACTATTGGGCCGTTGAAGGAGTCGTTCCTTGTGTACAACTCCCAAGGCAGGTCGAAAGGAATGGCCGTTGTCGTGTTCCAACGGCCAGGTGACGCTGCAATTGCTCAGGCGAAGTACGATGGACGGGTGGTAGACGGACGTACGTTTTCGTTGAACTTCTACCTTGCGATTGAGAATAACTGAAAGTCCATTAGGTCGGGCAATAAAAATTGAGCTTATGGTGGATAAAGGTAGCTTGCCGTCGTTTGGATCGCCTCCAATACCCACACTCCTTAATCGACTTGCACCTGCCCCTACACCATCTAATGGTGTTGTGCTATCGACACCTACTCCGTAAGAATACACGTTTCCTTTTTTTTGTACGTCAGACTCATCTCTTCCCACAGTAACGCTCCTCGTGCACCTGTCCGCTCCCAGATTCAAAGCTCAGCGCCCATTGTGAAGCCAGCTGCCATCCCCCCTCGACGAATTAAGCAGAAGAAGGGTCCTAAGCGCCTCAAGAAACGCGAAGCAGTGACAGTGGCTGATCTGGACAAAGAGATGGAAGACTATCGAGCTGCTGCGCCAGATGTATAGTTCCCCGCTCTTGTTTCTTTGTCGCCTGTGCATATCTGCTTGCTGCATTGTGTTCTTCCATTGCTCTCCTGTAGCGACTGTTATCTTATCATGCTTATGTAATTATCTTAAAGGTCGCGTCCTCCAAGCAAGACAAGCCCGGGTCATATCTAGCCCCTTACCTTCATCCTTCATCGACATCCCAAGATCCCTATCGTTCCCGTTCTCTCCGTTCCTTGATCCTGCCGCAACGTTCCGTGCGTCCAGGATCCACGTCGCGCTGCAAGGATGGTTGCACCGCTGTATACAACCGCGTCGGGACTCCTATTCCATGCCGGCAAGATCCTAGTTATCACGATCGGCCTTCCAGCTCGTGGAAAGACCCACATCTCGCGCGCACTTGAACGATACCTACGATGGATGGGTGTCAAGACGCAGGTCGTGTCTCTCGGAGACTACAGGCGGAAGCAGCTCGGTGGCGCCCAGAAGCTGCCTTCGGACTACTTCACACTCGGTGGGTCGCCTTTCAACGCGTTCTTTGATCCGTTTTCTCATAGAAGGCATCGACCAAGTAGGCGAGAAGACCGCTGAAACGATTGCATTGAGGGCCAAGATCTCAGAGGGATGTGAAAAGTTGATTTGGGATTTCTTCGAGGGCGGTGGGCAAGTGGTCATCTATGACGCCAACAACGGGACGAAAGCTGCGCGTCAGGCGGTAGCCGAGAGGTTCGACAAGCAGGGCATACACGTAGTAATGCTAGGTATGTTCTATAACCTGGGTAGATTGTGTCCCAAGGCTCACGATTGTCCTCCATCTACCAGAATCCTTGTGTGACAACAAGGAAATTATCGAAAGAAATATCCGAAGCGTCAAGATCTCCTCTCCTGATGTTCGTCTTCCTGGCATCTCGTGTGCGGTGTCGCGTTTACAACTCATACCTCGGGACTGCAGTATAAGAACTGGGATCCGGATAAAGCCGTTGAAGATTACTATATGCGCATCCGAGACCATGAAAAGTATTACGAAACTCTAGAGGACACTACTTGGCCATTCATTAAGATCATAAACGTGTGCTAAACTCTCTATCTCTTCTCAATTTCACCTCCTGACCTTGACTGCTTTCCAGGTTGGAGAGAAGATCATGCTGAATGTGAGTTTACAACAAGCCATTCCTCGACCCTACAGTAACCTCCAGATGTAGAAAATTCAAGGATATCTCCAAGTGAGTTAATTACCCCTTCTCGCATCAAAATTTCTCAAGTCTCTCAGTCCCGCATTGTGTACTTCCTCATGAATATTCACAATAAATTCAGGATGATCTACTTCGCCCGCGTAAGTGGTCCCATATCGACACTTTCATTTCTAGAGAGCTCATTCCTATTTCTTTATAGTCAGGACAATCTCTGATTGAGCATTCGTACAAAGCCGACTCGGATCTCTCGCCGGCTGGTTGGGAGTATGCCGAGCGCCTGAAAGATTTCGTTCTTGAGAAGCGAGCTCAGAGTCTAGAGCAACGAGGGTTCAATCCCAAGGAGCGAAAGCTGGTCGTACGTCTAATATATGACGAGTCTAACGTCTAGCACTCACACCAAAACAGATCTGGACATCAACGCGCCGGCGTGCACACCACACGGCATGGCCATTTGTCGCCGGCCAGGGATCTCAAAGCACTTTATTATCACAAGTGCCGTCAGCCCCTTCAGAATCAGTCGAGCACTCAACTACATCTGAATTCCTTACCACCTCTCCGATTTCTCTCCTGCCGCCCGAGTCGCTAGCTGGACCGTCCTCTTCCGCTGATGCCCTACCGCCAGTGAAATCCCCGCCACCGATGCCCGCCCACATCAAGGTCGTGGAGAAACCACAGATGCTGGAAATCAACCCTGGTATCTGGGATGGGCTAAGCCCCGAACAGGCGAAGAAGTATTACCCGGAAGACTGGGCGCGCTTCACGAAAGACCCGTATGCATACCGTGCTCCAAGAGCAGAGAGCTACCACGATCTAAGTGGTATGTCTGCTATCATCCGCGCGCTCTAAGCTAGAAGGATAATCAACTCGTGTCCATTTTGTGATTTACAGTGCGCATAGAGCCCATCTTGGTTGAGCTGGAACGCGAACAAGAGGATCTACTCATCATCGGCCACGCGTCTGTTATCCGCTGCCTCCTCGCCTACCTTATCGGCCTTCCAGCGTCCGAAATTCCGGCCATCGAGATCGCGCGTGGGGACTTGCTTGAGGTCGTGCCAGCATCGTACGGCGTTCATAGTCATGCTTTCCACTTCTGGGACGGCCCTGGTCGACGAGGAGACGGCGATATGACGGACGTGAAGGATGTGAACAATTTCTACGAGAACTACGCGGAGAGCACGAAGGGAAAGAGGAAGATTGCTGTAGAGGAGAGCGCTGCTGCCTCGAGGGCCGAGAGCCCTGCACCACTCGCGGAAGATGAGGACAACTTGAAGACGCCGATGCCTCCGCCCCCCACCATCAGTATAGAAACGCAGCTATGATTTTCTAGTCATTTTCTAGACAACTCTGTTCTAAATCTATCGTTTACACCCAAATATAGTGTTTTCTGTGGGCGCTTGTGCCTGTCGTTTTCCAAACGCCGATTCCACGTTGACTTGAAACCGATCCACTCGGGTGCCGGTGTCCGCGATGGTGACCAAAGCTCCATCGTTTTGAGGATTATACCAGGGTGGGCAGATATTGCCGGCATATGGGCTCTTCGGGATATTTTCGACGAGATTTTGTTGCCGTCAGGGGCTTGGCATCCAAACGAATTGCTGGCTCGCTCCCTTTTCTTAAGAAAGGTATCCGAGCGGGAACTGTCGTCGTCTCCTGGTACTCACTTAAGACGCAAAGGTTGAGCCTCCTTTCTTGACAAGATTGAGAAGGCTGATTGAAGATTAGGAGCTCTTCAAGATATGACCGCCTAAGGTTAACTGAAGCATTTCTTTTCACAGGACTATGGCTAAGTTAAGCCGTCACGGTCATCAACGACCGTTAGAACGAAAGACACAGGGAAGTTTGTACATAAATGATCTTGTTCCTAAATATTAGGTGACTCGGTCAAAGACTGCCGCAACCGGTGGGCCAGTATAAAAGAGTGGAGGAACCATCCTTGTTGACAGCGGGCATTCCCTGAATCAGACCATCTATTCCATCGTACTCCTGCGACTTATCGGTCAGACGCCATGAAGCTTTCTCTTCTCTCGTCCGTCGCTGCGATCGCTGCGATCCAAGTTGGTGCCATGTATGTCATCTATGAGGCCGCCTTTCGATCATTTCTGAAATTTTATATCCCAGGAATATCCCGATAACGTCCACGGTTATCCCCCAAGTTGCGTGAGTAGCAAGAAATCCTTTCATTGAGACCTGAATCTGATAACCTCGCTTGCAGCACTGCCAGCACAGTCGTGTAAGCCCGCACCCCAGAAATATCCTCCCCTCTGAGGCTGATTTCATGAATTAAACCCAGGATCTATCCTTGGCCGAGTTCCGCATTAGTGTGAGTAATACCGTTACCGTTGCGTTCACCCCGTCGATCCCTGAAGATGTCCTTTTTCACTTCCAGAACCCCTGCTGTGTCTGTGTGAGTAGCGACCTTGAACAACACGTCTTGTGCAAACTGATCATTCTTTCAGGTCCACATACATCGGTTCTGGCGATGGTCCAACTACCGTCTCAGTTGGACCATCTCCGTGCGTGGTCTTTGTCAGTTCATCAGCCTACCCAACCGCAGGCCCCGTCACTGTGTACATCGTCGCCCCATCAAGTGTAGTGCTCGCTCCCAGTTCTTCCGCGGTGCCCACGGTCACCTTCGCATCCTCGGCCGTCGCTATTACCACCTCCCCGGATTCAGAAAATTGGAATCGCACGGTCTCGTCCGTATTCGCAACCGCTTCGCCAGTCATCTCTTCCTACCTTCCACAGGTGATCACCGCGACAGTGTACCCCAGCTCCGGCTTGTTCACTACCGTTTACCCCACCGTTTACCCAG